CAGTAGGAGGGAAAAGGGAAAGAAAAGGGAGGGGGAAAGAAAGGGGGGAAGGGGGGAAGAAGGAGGGAAAAGCAGTAAGACTAAAGGGAAGAAAAGGGAAAGGATAATAAAAGGGAAGGGACTGAAGGGGCGTGGTCAAAAGCAAAACACTAGTGAAGGGGGAAAGGAAAAAGGAGAAAGAAAAGCATAAATGGGGGAAAGGATGGAGAAAAAGACACAGATAGTAATCATAACTGTGAATGTGAATGGGATGAACTCTCCCATAAAACGGAACGGATTGCAGAATGGATTAAAAACCATAATCCTACAATATGTTGTTTACAGGAAACACATTTGAAAAAGAGTGACACATACAGGGTAAAGGTAAAAGGCTGGAGCAGAATATATTATGTGTCAGCTGAAGTAAAAAAGCAGGGGTAGCAATCCTGATCTCACAGACAAAGCAAAAGCAAAAATAGATCTAATCAAAAGAGATAAGGAAGGAAACTACATCCTGCTAAAAGGCACCATAGACAATGAAGTAATATCATTACTAAACATATATGCACCAAATGGTATAGCATCCAAATTCTTACAGGAGAAGTTCAGGGAGTTACAGGAAGAAATAGACAGCAAAACTATACTAGTGGGGGACCTGAACCTCCCCTCTCTGCACTAGATAAGTCTAACCACAAAATAAACAAGAAAGAAGTTAAGGAGGTGAATAGAACATTAGAAAAGTTAGGTATGATAGACCTCTGGAGAAAACTGAATGGGGATAGAAAGGAATATACTTTTTTCTCGCAGTACATGGCACATACACAAAAATTGACCATGTACTAGGGCATAAAAACCTCACAATCCAATGCAGAAAGGCAGAAATATTAAATGCATCCTTTTCAGATCATGATGCAATAAAAATTATATGTAATAAAGGGCCATGGAAAGATAGACTAAAAAATAATTGGAAACTAAATAATCTAATCCTAAAAAATGATTGGGTCAAACAACAAATCATAGAAACAATCAATAATTTCATTCAAGAGAATGACAATAATGAGACAACATACCAAAACTATGGGATGCAGCGAAAGCAGTTCTTAGGGGAAGTTTTATATCTCTAAATGCTTACATAAATAAAATAGAAAAAGAGGAGATTAATGAATTGGGCATACAACTAAAAAAACTAGAAAAAGAACAACTTAAAAATCCTCAACTAAACACTAAATTAGAAATATTGAAAAACAAAGGAAAAATTAATAAAATTGAAATTAAGAAAACTATTGAACTAATAAATAAAACTAAGAGCTGGTTTTATGAAAAAACAATAAAATAGATAAACCTTTGGTTAATTTAATTAAAAAAAGAAAGAAGAAAACCAAATTACTAGTATCAAGAATGAAAAGGGAAGCTACCAACAAGGAAGAGGAAATTAAAACCATGATTAGGAATTATTTTGCCCAACTATATGCCAACAAATTTGACAATCTTAGTGAAATAGATACATATTTACAAAAATATAAATTGCCCAGATTAACCGAAGAGGAAGTAAAATACTTAAATAACCCCATCTCAGAAAAAGAAATCGAACAAACCATTGATGAACTCCCTAGGAAAAAATCTCCAGGGCCAGATGGATTTACATGCGAATTCTATCAAACATTTAGAGACTAAGATAGAAATTGAAGAAATTAAAATAGACCATTCATTTGCAAGCTCTTAAGGAAAAACAAAACAAATTGGAAGCATTGAAAATGAGAAATTGTCCCTGAACTGTTTCACTTTTGATCTAGGAAAGAGTAAAAGTTTTGCAACAAATTTCAGTTGTATAAGAAAACAAGTTCTGAAGTTGACTTGAGAGATGAGTGGGAAATAAAGATGTAAGGCAAGGGTGGGGAACCTGAGGCTTAGAGACCACATGTGGCCCTCTAGGTTTTCCAATTCGGCCCTTTGACTGAATCCAAACTTCACAGAAAAAATCCCCCTAAAAGAAGGATTTGTTCTGTAAAACCTGGACTCAATCAAAAGGCTGCATCTGGGAACTTAGAGGGCCACATGTGGCCTGGAGGCTGAAGGTTCCTCGCCCCTGAGGGATCAAACAAGTAGAAGTTAAGGAAAATGTAGTATGGAATCAGTGTAGAAAATCCATAGGAATAAAGGGAAAGAAAGTTAAAGAAAGTTGGAAACTCATCTACATTGACACAAGTGTTGGAAACTCAATTAGAGGGTGAAATGAAATAAGAGCTTTGATTTCCCCCAAAAGGGCAAGAAGATAGAACTGTGATTTTCACCCAGGTTGAGACAACGGAAAGTTCTCATCTTTGCCAGCTATCAAAATATCTAGAGGAGGCCAAAAGAAAAGGCAGGGATTTAATAAAGTATTATAGAAAGCTTAAAAGAATTTTAGATGTCAGTAAGATAAGATAGATGTGGCTGGCTTCCAAATATTTTCTTCCAATGTGTAAGAGGATATACTTAAAAGACTCATGATAGCCACAATTGTAAAAGTGGCTTTCCAGTTATTCCAGTGAAAACAATGACAAAAGGCCAAATGAAGATTGTCACCCTAAAACAGCTTTATATTTGGTTCTGTAGGTAATAGACAACCTAGCTGAAAAAAAGTTAAAACAAAGTTCTGAACCTCTTTCAATTCCATTTGAATATCCATAGATGCCTATCATTAAAAATGCCCAAATATACAAGCTTTGATTATATCTTAGTAATTGTATATACATTCTCAAGTTGGCTTGAGTCTTTTACATAGAGGATTGCTTTAATAGTTGTCAAGAAACTTTAAATTATGATTTTTCTCTTTGAGATCTCTTTCTGATAATATCAATAAATAGGTAAAAAAAAAACCTCTTTGTCTAACCTATAGACAGAAATAATCCATATCATCTACACAGTTAGGCAAGATGGAAAGAACTTGACCTGTGAATATTGAAACCCAAAGCTTGTCAGTGGTGCCTGGTTTGACTTTCCTATAGACTTGGTATATATGAGGTTAACTCCATATGGTTTGCACTGGCTTTTACCACATAAACTAATTTCTGGTAGGCCAATGTAATTAGGTTTTGTCAGGCATTACTAAATTATACTAAGCACTATTACTGCTGGGTTTGAACAGCATTATACAGGGAATATACACAAATGCCATTGCATGATTTGGAACCTGGAAAGCAGATTTACTAGAGAATCTACCCTAGAAACAATGTGGTCCATCCCTTGGTCTGTAAGCCGGACAATGTGTGGTTAGACCAGACCCCTTTTGACTTAGAATTTCCAGGGAAAATGTATTTCAGAAGCAAATGACTTCAATGAATTAGAGAGCTAAACCCAAGACAGAACAAGAAACCTATTTTCTAAATGGACGTTTCCCTGTTTTTGTCCATTTGATTATTTGTTATTGTTAAGTAATTTTTCAGTCATGTCCAACTCCATGGCCCATCTGGGGTTTTCTTGGCAGAGATGCTGGAGTAGTTTGCCATTTCCTTCTTCAGCCAATTTTACAGATGAAGAACTGAGGCAAACAGCATTGAGTGACTTGCTCATGGTCACAGCTACTAAGTGTCTGAAGCTGAACACAGCAAGATGAGTCTTCCTGACTCTAGGCCCAGTGCTCTATCCACTGCACTACCTAGTTGTCCCCAACTGTCTAACTTGTTTATTGTCCATTGTCTCTTACAGTATCTTGACCTGTTTTGAATGGTTAAGATATAAGTTGCTTAAATTGTTTATTCTTTCCCAGATTTGTTGCAGTATAATTGATTTATTGATATTTGTCATAGATAATATTCTGGATTTTATATGATTTGTTCTCCATGTTTCTGTTTCATCACCACCATAATAACACTCTGTACTATTAAGCTTCCTATTTTGCTGCCTTATTGTATTATGAACCTATAAATTGGGTAGTCCAGATTTGATGATACTTCTAATGCAGTATCAAAGAAGGGAATGGTGGAGGAAATGTAGAAAACCTTCTTGTTGTGAGTTTTGGGGAAAATATGTCCCCAGAAACAGCAGCTTTAGAAGTCAAGGAATGTAGCCTGCAGTATTGTGCTGATTCTATCTCAAAGGGAGGCTTCTAATCCATCCCTCCAAAATATTTTGATGAGATTAGAAACTAGAGACCTCCTACCCTACTAAAATGGTCTGATGAGATTAACTCCAGGGAAACACCCCTACCAGAACAAACCAGATCTTGGTTTACTCCAAGATTACTCCAAAGTTAAGGCATTCTCCCCCAAATTGCCTAGCATCTTATCTTTTTTACTCAACCACCCAGATAAGGAAAGTGGCCTTACCTGACAGACTCCTTCTGCCACCGGTCCTAAAACTGTGTAAAACCACTGAGAATCTCTGCAGAATTGCTAGCCACCTGGCAACTGCCCATCCCCTGATGTGACTTAAACCTTCTGTCTTCTACCTTTGTCTCTTGATTTATTGACCTAGGTGGGAGGAATTATTCTATAGGAAGATCTTAGGACCTCCAGGCTGAGGAATTTCCCAACAAAATCAAAGTAGACTCTCATTTCGACTGGGGAGCTCAGGGAAGAGACCAAATGTGGTCAGGCCTTTATATGCAAGCCATTTCACTTATTTGCTTTTACCAAACAGGACTCCTTTATATGTGTCCCTCAAAACTGTCTTATTCCCGTTTGTCTCATTTCTCCAGTTCACTGACTGTATTTCATCCTGTATACACATACACACTCGCACTTAGTAGCTGTTGATCAGATCAACCCTCTCAATCCTTCTAAATGACTCTCTAAGAGGAGAAGGTTAATAGGTGTTTCCTCATCTGGGAGTTCTCTATGTCAGTGGAACCAGTGAAATCACAGGTCCCAGTTCACTATCTCTCTATATTCCCATAAAACTTTAGAATTTAGTTTTGCATTGTGGCACACTCGGTTTTCCCGAGTTACTATTAATGGTGAGGGAAAAAAAGTCTCTTCCATTTGTAACCCTCAGATTCTTGAACGCTACCGAACCTCCTCCTCCTCTAGGCAAAAACATACCCTGAACGCAGAAAGAAACCAAACTTGTGAACGAAGATGAAGATTGAGTTCAGCTGCTTGGCGAACTGGACTATCTTTTCATGGTGTGAGCTTCTCATCTCGGTATATCCCTAGGTCCTCTCCGTAGAAAGCACAGCGGTCCCCTAAACACAGGGTTGAAGAAAGTTTGCGTTACATCCCTTCCCGCAGGAGACCACACCCTTTCTTCAGAACACTATAAACTGGTGTGAGGGCCATCTCCAGTTGTCATGACCTGTATTTTGCCACTGGACCCAGAGGGCTCGGGAGAAGAAAGTGAGACTGGTGACTCTGCACAGCCCTCGATCACTTAAATCCAAGTCACTTGCATGTCATGGCATCACTTCCCTGATGTCATGGTCCTCTTCCCAAACGAAGGATAAAAGAGAAACAACAAGAAGAAACTGGTCTCCACGTGTCTCCCCACCAAACTAGGACCTTGGGAAAATTTTGAGGTCTAGTTAGAGAATGGACAACCAGGAAAATCTACCCATCTCAGCACCCCTCTCTACTACAGCGTCTGAAGACAGTGTTAGGTTAAAAAGGATTCCTACCACCCTATCAGATTCCACTGCCCTTGCGCGGCTAAGCACTCCCTTCCCATTAACCCCCTCCCTGCTCTTCCCCACAACTAGCACCCTCATATTTCTCTTTTTCCTTCTCAAGCTGGGCTAGGACAGAGGAGATAGAACAAGTCGTCAGCCCCTCCTCTGGTGCTTCCCGCCTGCCTCCTCCTCCCTAGAATGAGGCCAGAGATGGGAGAGCTAGGCAATTACTTGGATCTGGCCAGTGGGCAAACAGCTGCTTTCCTCCTGCCCTGTCCCTTTCGCTAGTCAGACAGGCTAGATTAGCACTTCATTCCCTTTTCATCTCTCATACCTTTCTTGGAGGGAGAGGGAGAGAGGAAATTTTTAAAAAGGGGAGGGGTGGATTAGAAAGGATGGGTGGGAGGGGCGGGGGGGACCGCCCAGACTGGGGTGGGGCGGTGGGCGTTTTGGGGCTTCCCAGGTTTTAGGCTCGGCTCATCTCACCGCTCTTGACCATTCCATCAGCGACATGGGGGGCACTGGCTATTCAGCCAATAGCATGGGAGTCACTTACAACTCCGGCTTCTACCTGAGCCGTAAGGTGGTCGTCCTTACTGTAGTGGTGCTGAGTGCGCTACTGCTGGCTGTAGCGGTGCTTAGTTCCTTCTACGTTCGCTGCAGTCACACACCATCGCAGCCAACGGAGAAGTTCACTACGGTGACTAGAGACGTACTCGCTATCCAGTCGGTGGCCCTCAAGCAGCAAGCCGAGGAAGAGAAAAAGGAGACCAAGACTAGCATCACCCGCGACCCCGGTACCCGGCCGAGCGCCACGAGACCCTCCTGGTTCTGGGACCATCTGAGTCAGTCCACCTCCGGGCCCCTGGACCGCCCGAGCCTGTCCACCTCCGGGCCCCTGGACCGCCCGAGCCTGTCCACCTCCGGGCCCCTGGACCGCCTGAGCCTGTCCACCTCCGGGCCCCTGGACCGCCCGAGCCTGTCCACCTCCGGGCCCCTGGACCACACGACCGCGTCCACTTCCGAGACCCGGGACCACCCGACCCCGTCCACCTCCAGACCCCAACTCCAGCCCACCTCCGAACCCTGGAAGCATCCGCGCCTGCCCTCCGACGTGGTGCCCCTGCACTACGACCTGGAGCTGTGGGTTCACCTGCAGCCGGACCAGGTCGAGCAGTCCTCGAAGTCCTTCAGCGGGAGGCTCAATATCACTGTGAAATGCGTCTCCCCGACCACCTGGGTGCTGATCCACAGCCTCCGCCTAGACTACCAGGGCGCCACGGTGCTGGGTCCCTTGCCCGAGAGCCCCGGGGCTGATGGGGAGCAGCGGGCAGTGGGCCAGGTGGCGGTGAACAACTTGTGGAAGTTCCCGGAGAAGGAGTACCTGGTGATGGAAATGAGGGATACCTTGAAGGCTGGCCGCCACTACGTGCTGCAGTTCGACTTCTCCGGCTTAGTAAACCAGACCCACAGGGACGGGTTGTTCCGCAACTTATATTCAGACCAGAGAAAGATCAAGTAAGGGATAGTGTTCTCATCCCCAGTTATAGTGACTCATCCTCAGCCTCTCTTCACTGTTCCTAATTCTTTTCTATGTCCAGTTTGTTTTTCCTTTTTCCAGTGCCTCCTTCCCCACTTTTCTTCACTTTCACCACACTTCCTATATGTATTTAGTATCGGAGGACTTATGTATTCAGTATTGGAGGACTACCCCCATCTGGTCCTCTTCGCCAATCTTGCTGTCCCCGGTCTCCAGTCCAAGAACTGAAGTTCCTCCTATTCTTTCAGAGGAAGAATAAATCCAGGATTGTCCTCTCATCTCTCCCTATCCCTCTCCAGGGGGATTGCTACTTTCTCACCTTTGATAAACCTGACTTCATTCCTTCACATTTTCCAAAAGGCTACAGCTTGTCTTGTTCCTCTTCGTCCTCTCCCCACCCCAACTCCTCATAACTGTCCTTTAGACTATGGTGCTCAACCAGTTCAGTCGTGGACAGCCAGCTTCTCTCCCTTCCTGAGATTCCATCTCAGTTAAATCTGTACCTTTTTGAATCAGCTTCTTCATTCTGCTCTTCTTAGAGCACAGGTCTCTCTAAAACTGCAGACTGTCTTAGCTTTTCAGCGCTAGTCATCTGAGGAAGAGCACCTAGTTCCTATTTCTTTCACTCCACGGGCTGCACTTTACCTTTCTCTCTCTAATCTCTGACCTAACAGGCTTTTTTCCTTTAGAAATGGAAAGTGAGTTTTTACATTCATGAATACATAACCAGCTTTTCTTTGTATCCCATTTGAGATCTCTCGATTATGGCACCTTCTTGGACTAGGACGGGAGGAATCCTATCCATTTCTCTCTTTCTGAGCTTTCTGATTGCATCAATTATGCAAAGCATTTGGGGATGCAATTTATATATGTAAGATGCCAAATAAGTATTCCCCCCCACACACACTTTCACACATGCCCTCTAATTCCCTTACTCCTCACTAGTTTAGTTTTTGTGGTCTACACAAAGGCATGCCCTTTGCCCTTTTTACTAGAGAAAGTGTTCTCAGATGTCTCTGCTTATCTCTGACACTTCTGTTCTTTAAACTTCAGACATTTCTAATTAAATCTGGTCTTTTGCCTTGGTGGGTTCACAAGTTACACCTTTTGTTTTATAGTGTCTATTTTCCTTCTGCATGGTATTACGATTTTCAAAAAAATTTTTACAGGTTTCTGGATCTGAACGAATTCATGACAAATTTATGGACATGAGCCTCTCTTGAAAGTTGTAGTTAGTGTGGAATACAAGCTCTTCTAGTGCAAAAAAAAAGCGCCTTTCTCTTCACACTTAATTTCTATCACTCATTTGTTTTTAGCAATGCCTTTTCCTACTCATCTTAGAATCTGAAGTTTTGAACTAGAAGGGACTTTTGAGATCATCAAATCTAACCTTCTCATTTTACAGATGAGGAAAGCAAGAACCAGAGAAATAAATTCATACATCTAGTGAGTTCCAGAAAGGGGTTCTCAAGTTCAGGTTCTCTGACACCAAAGTTACTATTCATTCCATTAAAACATCTCCTTTCAGAAAAGTGAGGATCTGAGATTCAACTCCTATATGTAGGTTATTTTGTATATGTTTGTCTGCATATTGTCTCCCCACTGAGATTATAAACTTCTTAAGGACAGAAACTGTCTTTTGTCTCTTTTTGTATCCCCAGTGCTTAGCACAGTGCCTGGCACATAGAAGAAGCTTATTGGTTGATTGATTGGAGAGGTGAAGTGACTTGTCCAATTAAGTGTCTGAACATAGACCCTATCCTCTTATTTCCAGATTGCAAATTAAATAGGCAGTCTGTTGTACCTGTCTTCTTATTTAGTTTTGTATAGTCTAAAAATATTGTACAACAATGTGGAAGAAATACTCAGTACTTTGTGTTTTTTAGTTTCAAGGATGCTACACAGTACTCATGAGGCTTAAAGTCAGTCACTTCACTTCTTCAAAGATTCAGTTTCCTCATATCTAAGATGAGGAGCTTGGACTAAAGTTCCTTTCTGTCCAAAATTTATGATTCAAGGAATGTTTGCAAATTTTAGGTCCCCAAGACAACAAACTTGGAAATCTGAGCACAGATCACATATTAAGAGCCAGATGAGACTTTCAATTTCATCTCCAGTTCTCTCATTTTACTGATGAGGACCTTGGTGTGGGTAACAATCAAAAGAGCCAGAATCTGAGTCCAAGTCTTCTGGCTTCGAATCCAGGTTTCTTAGCAGCCAATCTACCTGTTCTTTCAAAGCTCTGCTAATCCTGGAAGTGATATTAACAGAGTATTATTGTCAAGGATTGCAAAAACTCTATTAAACACTGTATACGGACAGTGCTCTCAATAACTTCATCTCCTAAATTTGTAGGAGGTGTTCACTTACCTAACTTATTAAGGGCCAAGTATTCAATAGTTATCAAAAGCAACTCCTTGAAATCTGGCTTCTGTCCTTGCCACTTCCTAAATACTTTCTACAAGGTCACTAATAATCTATTCATTGTTAAATATGATCCTTTTTCTTTTTGGCAATTGGGGTTTAGTGACTTGCCCAGGGTCACACAGCTAGTAAGTGTCAAGTGTTTCGTTTCAGGCTGGATTTGAACTCAGGTCTTCCTGACTTCAGGACTTGTATTCTATTCACTGTGCCACCTAGATGCCCCAATATCATCCTTTTTGAATTCTCAATATCATTTGACACTGTCCCACACCTCCTCCTTCTGGATGCTCTCTCTTCCCAGTGTTTTCATGACATTTCCCTATTGTAATTCTCTTCCTGTCTGATGGATCTTTTTCACTCTTTTTTTTACAAGCTCACCAACCTCATCCATATCCTGCCCCATATATATGAGTATATCTCAGGGCTCTGTCCTGGCCTCTTTTCTCTTCTCTTTTTATATGGTCTCGGTGATTTCATCAGCAGATGACTACAAAATCTATCATCTTGCCCTTATCTTTCCCTGTTTGCTGGACAGCTCCATCAGGATATTGCCTTGGTGTCTTAAACTCAACAGGTCAAATGAGAATTCATCTTTCTCTATTAACCCCCTACACACACACACACACACACACACACACATATACACATATATATGTATATATGTATAAATATACATATATGTATGTTTACACACACACACACACACACACACACAGATTAATTCTTTGGTACAACTTCCTAGAGCAGAGAAGAAGTGTTCATACTAAGAAATCCATCTTGGCAAGAATCAGTAAAAGGGGTGGGGGAAGTACAAATAGGAGTGGTCAAACAATCCTGCTCACAACATTCTCCTACCACTATTATACTAATGATGACAGACTAAGAAAATTATGATTCTTTTCTTTGGAAACAAGAAAGATTTAGAAAGTTATGATTAAAATCTGAGGTTACTAACAGTATAAATACAGTGAACATGAATACAGAATCACTGAATCAAAGAATGTCAGATATGGAAGAAATCTCAGAGATTATATAGCCCAGCCTTCTCATTTTAGGTATTAGGAAACTGAAGCCAACATAGTCTGTGTCAGAGGTTCTTTTGATGTATTTAAGATTTTATTTTGGTCTACCAATTTGGATATACTCTTAGAGGGAATCTGGGTAATATTGGGAATAAATTTTGAACCATCCAAATGAAATACATGAATTCTGCTGAAGCACTTGTCTATACTCCTATCACCAAATGGCACCATGGTGGTAATCAATATATAGCTGTATTTATACGGTGCTTTGAAGTTTGCAGAATGCTTTACATAGATGATTTCATTTGAGTTTCACAACAATGCTGTGAAATAGTTACTACTAGCATCATTATCACTATTTTACAGATGAAGGAATAGAGGGTCAAGTGACTTGATCCATTGACACAAAGATAGTAAATGTGTGGGATCATCCTGACTGCAAGTGCAACACTCTATCCAATATGTCAGGTTGCCTCTTAGTAGAGTGTATGCATTTTAAGTTGAGGTGACTAAGTGGTATGAAGGAGAGTATGCTGTGCTTGGAGTCAAGCTGCCTCAGATATCGAGCTATGTAGCCATATGTAAGGGCAGCTAGGTGGCACAGTGGATAGGCCTGGCCAGGAAGACACATTTCAAATCTGGCCTCAGACGTTTACTAGCTGTCCCTGGGCAAGTCACTTAATCCTGTTTGCCTCAGTTCCTCATCTGTAAAATGGGCTGGAGAAAAAAATGGTATCTTTGCCAAGAAAACCCCAAATGGGGTCACAAAGAGTCAGACATGGCTGAAAAAAAATGACTGAACAACAAAGCCATATGTAAATCATTTGACCTTAATTGCCATTGTAAAATGAAGATAATAATACTTATGTCCCAGCATGATTGTCAGGATAAAATACTATATGTAAAGAACTTTGTAAACCTTTAGAAAAGCTATATAAATATTAGTTATTATTCTCTGAAACATGATTTGTTCAATAAAGGATCAGGTCCAAAATCTTTTGAAAACAAATGATAAGCAAACATGACTCATCACTGGGTGAAACATCTGGCTATATTAAGCATTTTGATTTTGGGGTGTGGTGTTGGAATTTTTTTTTTTGACAACTTACTGAAAAGTCTTATTTACTTCTTTGCCAATGATGTTGTTTACCGATGATGTTGTTTAGGCCTTGCTAGACAAGATCTTTAGGCAACCGAGTTCATAACGTATTTGGACTCACATACCTTAATTTATACTCATTTTTATGTGGTGGGAGAGTGATCCCTAAGGGTTTCTTGATGTTGGATCAGATGAACCCTATGATTCTTTCCAGCTTCAACAGTCTGTGATTCTATGATTTTCTGGCTTCCATAGCAAGGAAGGGAGACCATAATGAGAGAACTTGGCAATGTAGCACTAAACTTATGGGAGAGAGCTCTTTCTGCAATAAGTTCTCCAAATTTCATAGGATTGAGATCTAGAAGGGACCTCAGATATTACTAATTGGAATCTAGACTATGTCTCATTTTATAAAGGAGGAAACTGAGGCCTCTCTATAGAAGTGAAATGAGTTGCTTAAAAGTTCCATAAGTAGTAGTAGCCAACCCAAAATTCAAACTCAGATTCTAAATCCAATTGACAATCTTGGCCCTATCTGTTTTTGTTGTTCAGTCTTGTCCAATTCTTTGTGACCACATTTGGGGATTTCCTGGTAGAGATAGTGGAATGATTTGCCATTTTCTTCTCCAGCACATTTTACAGATGAGGAACTGAGGCAAACAGGGTTAAGTGACTTGCCAGGATAATAGCTAGTAAGTGTCCGAGGCCCAATTTGAACTCAGATCTTCCTGATTCCAGGCCTGGCACTATATCCGCTGCCCATATTCATCTGTTCATGTCAGATGTAATGCAGGTTGGTCTGGTGCCTTAAGTTCAGAATTGAAATGAAACACTTGTAAATCATCTAACTGTTAACAAAACAAGGTTTATTTAGTCATAGCATGGGGAGGGATGCTCACTAAGGGTACAACACTGATTCAGCTGAGCAGTTTCCCTGTCTCTGCTTTGGCCAACTGTGATGGTCTTTTGGTCAGAAGCCTGAGGGAACTGCTGCTGACTGCTTTTGTGGTGGGTTTTTGTACTTAGGCCACCTGGAATCTACCCCGGTGTTTCAAGTCTTAGTCTAGTCCATCTAAACCAAGAACTTTGGCCAGTTTCGACATATTATATAACTATAAAGAGTGTAATATGCTTATTCCATGTAACAAATATTACATTCGGTGTGTGGGTTTTTTATAGTTCCTTTGTTTTTTCTTTAGGTTTTTGTTTCATCTGGGGCCATCTCCACTTGTTCTGATCTATATCTTGCCACTGGACTCAGATGGCTCTGGAGGAGGGAGTGAGGCTGGTGACTTTGCACAGCCCTCCCTCACTTAAATCTGATTCATTTGCATGTCATGGCATCACCTTCCTGATGTTATGGTCCTCTTTGAGAATGAAGGACAAACAAAAGATTTTATATACAGAAACATTCTAAAGTTCGGGATGGTCGGCCTTGGAGTATATTTGCATAGATGTGTGTCTTTGCAGGACAAGAACTGGTGGAAAGGGAACTCTACATATTTTTAGTCCCAGTATTACAGATAAGGAGATTTAGGTTCTCCTAAATCTAAATCGTAATCTAAAATCTAAAAAAAGAGATTTTATGGCTTCCCAAAGACACATGGCTGTTAAATGGCAGACCTGGGACTAAAATCTAACATCTAAGGCTTCTAACTCTGAAGCCAGTGCTCTTTCCATTATGCTAAGGCCACTTCGAAGATACAAGTACATATCCTCTAAATATGTTCTCTTTCCAATTTTTCACTGATAATAATGGTAATTGTAGCTAATAACAACTTGATGGTATATAGTAATAGTAATGATAGATTATGCTGATTTAGAGTTTAAAGTTTTACAAAAAACTTTGCATCCATCCTCACCACAACCCTTCAAGGTAAGTACTTTCATTATTATTAATCCTCATTTATGGATAAGGAAACTGAGGCTCAGAGAAAGGACATAACTTGCCCAGGGTCCCACAGCTAGCAAGTGTCCATTTGAACCCAAGTCTCTTCTGACTCCAAGATAGCAGAAGATAAATATTTCCCACCAATATGGTTCATTCCAGGGCTCTGATTGCTTCTCAATTGGAACCAACATTTGCCAGAACAATTTTCCCTTGTTTTGATGAGCCAGCTATGAAAGCAACCTTCAATATCACAATTGTTCACCATCCTACTTATGTGGCTCTTTCCAACATGCCAGCCCTAGGTAAGGAATGCTTCTTTATAATTTTTGTTTCTTATTTTGTAAGAACATTATGATCATTTCCCTAGAGAGTGTACATTTCTAATAATTCACCATGGCATTATATCGAGTGAGCCACTAAACAAAACTTCAATGAAACAAAGATGGATTAACAAATACTAGCAGGAAATGGTGGGTTGGGTAAGTGTAAATGTATGAGAGTTTTGAAATAATTCAGTTGTGCAACGCTATTGTTGCCTACTATTTGCAGATATTCCACAGGTGGACCTGAGAAATGTAGGTGACCACATGGTAGACTTCCTTTATCACAGTCTTCACAGATGCCAAGGATATGGTCAGAATTTAGTTCTGGGTTTGCATGAAGCTGGGAAATGGTATACTGTACTTGCCACACCCATTTCTGCCTTGAAATGGACCTTGGTTTGGGTCTTAAAGACAGGCACTAGATTTCTACCAAGACAGAAGCAGCTGAGCCACACCTACTTATCTATATCCTTTGGGCATGGCATCTATTTCAAACGCTGTTAGAAAGTGGCTAGTCTGGAAACCAGCAGAATTATATGTGTATCTGAGGATCATAGATCTAGAGCTAGTATGAACCTTAAAACCTCTAGTTCAACCCCTTCAGTTTACAATTTCTGGAGACCTGAGAAAGTTATGTAACTTGCCCAAAGTTACAAAGATAGGTGTTGAAGAGGCTCTGATTCAGGCTTTGCATCTAGAGTCAACACTCATTTCACTGTGCCATGCTGTTCTAGTTTTTAGCTTTCGTTGGTCTATGATTAACATCTATGAACCCACATTGGTAAAGGATGAGGAAAGAACCTTGCTAAACCATTGGGATAGTATGAGAAGAGGCCAGGTAAATATTAGCAGGGGCAAGTGAGAAAGGAGAAATTACTCTCATGACTCATATTTTGTGTTTTGTGTTGTCAGTGTGCTAAAATAAATGACTTTCTTTAGCCATGTCTGAAAGAGAAGACGCAAACAGAAGCAAATGGATTGTTACCAGCTTTGAAACTACTCCCCTAATGTCAGCATATATAACTGCATTTGCTGTGTGTGACTACAATTATGTCAACGGAACTGAAAGGGGCAAGGAGGTAAAGTTTTTCAAGAAGTAGTAGCAACGCATGCCGACTGTAGATATGTCAAGCCATTCTTCGTGCTCAGGGCAACCAATATATCTTGAGTCTGTTTCTAATACTCCCTTGCCTTGTATATCTCCTAGTTCTCATCAGGTATGGAATCCTGCGTTAGTCCTTCTCTTTGGCTTGGGGGTGGGTGGGATGGTCAGGAAAGAATTAAGGGCATTAAAGAGCTACTACCCACCCTTCAACTTCAGGTCACTACAGACAGTAGTATAAATTGTTGCCTTGTAGTCATCACACATGTTGACTATACACCACACAATGCCACACATAATTTTGGTTTGATTGACTGATGCCCTGAGCTGAAAAACCAGCAAATGCTACTCACAGCAAAGGTATGAAACTCGAGGCTGTTGGACCTGGGCCAGCAAAACTCTAGAGTGCCTCTGGAACCAGATTAAAATGTAGTTTGGAAATGTTTACCAAAGCAAATATAAATACAAAACAACATAGATGAGGTTAATTTGAGGTTTTCTAAGTCTATGCTACCTGGTTCCATTTCTATTTGAGTTTGCCACCACCTTCTTAAAGGCTCATATTTGTATCTCCAGTGCTTGGCAAAATGTCTGGCACATACCAAGCATTTACTAAGTGTTTGCTTGTTGATTGATGTGAATGTCTCCATAGAGACTACTTTTCAACCAGAGGGCATCTCATTAATCCTACATGCTTACTACCTACTAAGGTATTTTTGAAATTCACCGGCTGGAACCATAGAATTTTCAAATGAAGCCTCTAGAAATGCAATTAAGATTTTAGGGGCTAGTTAGTACAATCGATTAGAGGCTGCTGGTAATGCGGTCAAGAACTTGTGTTCAATTCTCATGCAGGGGAGTTGTTGGGGAGAAGGAATGGAAGTAGATTTGCTGGTGACCCTTTCCTAACTTCCAATGAACATAAATTGTTTTACTCAATTTGCTAATTGTCACCTTGGGAAAAGCAGACAGCCTGGACTTGAATAATGAGATTCAAGATAGTGTCAGTGGTTGAGGTGACCTAAGAGAAGCAGGAAATGAGTATGGCAATGTAAGCCCAAGAGAGCTAGCGGTCAGCAGGAGGGCCCCACACCAAAGTGCAGCAGACAAGAAACAATGACCTGCACAGGTTGAGTAGCTCCGTTTAGAAAGAGAAGGTTAAAAGACAGGGGCCACCGAAGACAAACATCATCTATGTCACAATTTTGTCTGGAGCTAGTCTTTAATCAAGGAATAAGTTTTCTAAAAAGAGAATAACATAATTATAATGTACGAATAAGTCTTCTTCAGAAAATAAGAGGAAGCCTGGTAAAAAGGATTAAAGAGTTGAGTTCAGATATAGGAAGAACCTAGATTCCAGTCGGGACTCCGATCCATACTTGGCTTTTTGACTGGACAAATTACTTAACCTCTCAGTGCTTCAGGCAACTTGCAATTGCAGAGAAAGCTTGCAATTGCAGAGAAGATACCAACCTGAATTGAGAGGAGTTTTCTCCGACTCTATCTCCTTTCTCTGGTGAGGAAAGTGAAATTAGCTGAGAGATTGCATACATGTATAAGTGCTCTTGGATTTTATGCATATCTTTAAATGCATCTATTTAAATATTTTATTTTTTTCCTTAAGAAAGGGAGGAACAACATTCTCTCAAAGTAGCATCACAGAAAACAGGTTGTCATATCAAATCCAAACAGATCATTTGTCTTAATTTCGGCTGTTTTTTTTTTTTAGGTACGGATTTGGGCTCGGAAAGATGCAGTTGCTGAAGGGGGAGCAGACTTTGCTTTGACTCTTGCAGGCCCTATATTCTCAAAGCTGGAAGATGTACTTAATGTTAGTTATCCTCTTCCAAAAATAGGTGAGAGAATCTTTCTGTTCTAAGTTGCTTTTTCAGGATGGATGCACATTGGTCAAGGGCCAAGGAGAAGTACTAAGGGACTTGCTGTGGCCCATTGCCACCATTTTCCATTTATTTCAGGGCTGATCCCTATGGAGATGCCATCCTCAGAGCCTTCAGAAAGCAGCTTAATCACAGGGATCATGTCTACTTCTGAGAGACATCATGGTTTAATGAAAAGGGCCTTACAAAGGGAGTCAGAAGCCCTGGGTTCCACTCTTGTCCCACTATGTGGCCTTGAACAGTCCATTTTATGGGCCTGTATGGGCCTCAACTTCCTTATCTGTAAAATTGAAGTTGGGTTTGATGATCTCTAAGGTTCATTCCAGTTTTAAAACTGTATTCTGTGACGTTTATTGTCAACCAGTGAATAAACATTTCTTAAACACCTAGTATATGTAAAGTACTGTTCTAAGTGCTGGAGATGCAAAGAAAGGCAAAAGACAATCCCTTCTCTCCAGGAGCTCACGGACTAATGGGGAGATAACTTGCAAAACAACTAGGTACAAATAAAATATATGGAGGATAACTTGGAGGTAATCAATGGAGAAAACATTAGCATTAAGGGACCAGGAAAGGCTTCCTGTACAAGGTGGGATTTTTGTTGTAACTCGAAGGAAGCCAGGGAGGCCAGGAGGTAGAGATGAGGAGGCCTAGTAAAGCCTCGTAGTCATTCCTTAGCACCCTCTCTCTTGCACTCTTAATTTATCAGCCTGACTGATTACCCTTTACCTGCCTCATTCTATTGACTTTCTTTTCAACCCTTTGTCATGGTGCTTAGGCTAGATGCTAATGTTCCAGCGCACAGAATTTAAAGCAAGATCATCTAATCTAACCCCTCATTTCATAGATCAGGAAGCTGATGCCTAGAGAAGTGATCTATCTAGTCACACAAATAGTATTAGAGCCAGAATTTGAATCCAGATCTTCAGACTCAAAATTCAGCAATATTTCCTTCTACGTTGTAAAAGTAGAAATCACGTGTTTCCATTAATTTCTACAAAAATGTTTATGGAATACCTTCAGATTGCATAGCACAGGATTAGAAATTATAGTGTCTATTTCTCTGTTCTCACAATTTAAAAGAAAAATGAAAATGGTAAATATTTTGTGTTCCACATAATATTTGAATAAAGTCATAATTAAACATTTTTTCTCCTACAGGATGTTACAATCTTGAAGTTAGACCCAAAATATAGTTCATTAAATTCAGTGTTATGATTGCAATTCAGAGGCAATAGAGACTTTGTACAGGGCAACAATTGCCAACGTGATTGATTCGCACAGTACAATAGGGAACAAATAAGAAAATAATATCTTGTTATTTCATTAGGCAAAAATAATGAACATTGAATAAACAAAATAATGAATGTGAAATTCTTATAATGTATGTGCAAGAACAAAATTTTGCATTTTTTAAGAGGCAATGGTTTAATTTTTTTCCTTCAATGTAATTCCACTTAGATCTCATTGGGTTTCCTGTTTTTAACTCACAAGCAATGGAAAATTGGGGACTGATAACATTTGATGATTTTGTGTTGGTGCACGGGAAGGACGACTACCCAGAGAAAAAAACCATCATTTTGTGCACTGTCGCACATGAAATTGCACATCAGGCATGTGGTAAAATGTTCTTTTAAAATTTCATCTGAAAGTATTCTACAGAAGCTTTACAAAGAAAAAAGTCACTATGTAACAGTTACAGAAGTTGGAGTATAATCAGTGCTTTCATTTGTGCCTTATAAAATTGGGATTGGCAATGTCACTGACAAGACTTTATACTCCACTTAAACGTATATTTATTTCTGAATTTCCAACTGACCACACAAATTTTGGTTAAGGAAAAGTAACTTAAGCGAAGTTAGAAAAATGTGTTTGTTCTTTCTAAACTCCATCTTTATAAGAAAGTACATTCAGGATGGCTGTTGACCTGAATCTAATTAGAAGTATTAAATAGTTATAGACTTTTACCCTTCAGAAAATGGTATAGGGGTGGAGGGCAACAGATTTATAAATGTCTATAAATTAATCCTTGGGGTTCTGAAAGACGAGTAGAATCTTGTCATTGTGCCATTATGCCTCACGGTGGTTTTAGAAATTTAGTTGTTTTTCTTTTCTTTTTTTTTCTTTCTTTCTTTCTTTCTTTCTTTCTTTCTTTCTTTCTTTCTTTCTTTCTTTCTTTCTTTCTTTCTTTCTTTCCTTCTTTCTTTCCTTCTTTCCTTCTTTCCTTCTTTCTTCTTCTTTCTTTCTTCTTTCCTTCTTCTTTCTTTCTTTCTTTCTTCTTTCTTCTTTCTTTCTTTCTTTCTTTTCTTTCTTTCTTTCTTTCTTTCCTTCTTTCCTTTCCTTCTTTCCTTCTTTCCTTTTTCTTTTTCTTTCTTTCTTTCTTTTTCTTTCTTTCCTTCTTTCTTTCTTTCTTTCTTTCTTTCTTTCTTTCTTTCTTTCTTTCTTTCTTTCTTTCTTTTCTTCGGGGGGTGGGGCGGTTACCAGCTCAAATTCCCACCCAGACCTTTGTTCATAGAACATTAAGAACAGTTTTTCAGTGAATCTTATACCTACTATGAACGTGTTGCCTCCCTAAGAAGGTATGAAAAGTAGTGTGTGGATGAAATTATAGATGACATAGCTTTCAATAAGGTAGCAATACGAAGTCTAATCAATATCCCCAAATTTTCATGTATATTGTTATGGAACCCAAACTGCCAGATATTAGTGTATTACATCTCTTTTTAGGAATTTGATTACATGTCACAAGATGAATTGGCTGGTATGGAAAACTGCTTTATTCTCTCCCTAGTTGTATCTATCATCTGTTGACATTTTCTTTTTTGTTAAGTGCAAGAAGAAAATAATTATAGGTAAGCCCCTAATATTTATAATGGGCAGCTAGGTGTCACAGTGGATAGAGCACTGGACCTGGAGTCAGGAAGATCTGAGTTCAAATCTGGCCTCAGACACTTACTAGCTGTGTGACCCTCGGCAAGTCACTTAACCCCTATTTGCCTCAGTTCCTCATTTGTAAAATGAGGGCACACTGAAAGAGGAAATGGGAAACTATTCCAGTATCTTTGCCAAGAAAATCCATGGAGTCTCATAGTCAGACATGACTGAACAACTGAACAACAACAATATCCTTCATGCAACAGTTATACAAGTTTGCGCATATCACAGATCAACTAATGTCTCTTGAAACATAATATGTACAATAAAATAGCCTGATTTGTGCCATAAAGTAAGTTTCTACAGTTCCCCAACATCAGTTCTATAAAGGGGTTCCATTGTGCTTAACTTCTTAGGAACTACTCTTAAATATAATGGAGCAAAATGTTGGTATAGAGGAGAAAGAGCTGACCCAAGAGTCAGGAAGACCTGCGTTTAAGACCTGTTTTTGACATATACTGGTCATGTGACTATGGGCAGGGCACTTAACCAGAGTGGCTCAGACAGCCCTCTAAATTGCAGACTTAAGACACTTGTCTGCAAAGTATAATAAGTTGCTGATATTCACCAGTGAAAGGAGTCTTTGTATCAGGATATCTGTACACCTAGGAAATCACAGATTTGAACAAAAAAAGAAAATAAAAGTTAAAAGGCAGGGGGTGGGAAGTGGGTCCTGAGAAAGGATGTACTTCAAGAATATTTGATTTAAAACCTATCATTTTTAGATAAAAATTTTAAAAAACTTTTGGACATGCTTTTAAAAATGTCCAGATGTCAAGGGAATCTTTTTTTTTAAAGCAATAATCACTACAAAGTTACTCATTACTGTTATCTTTAAAACATATTGATAACATAGGGGGTTTAAAATTGCATTTTTAGGTTCTTTCTACTTGCCAACTAAAGCCAAAATATTTCTTGATGTTTTATATATATATATATTGAATGTAAGAAAATACAAAGAGACTTGAATATGAATAAAATGTAAGAAAGTTTTTTTCTTTGTCTCCATTTTTAAAGTGGTTTGGAAACTTAGTTACCATGAAGTGGTGGAATGATATTTGGCTCAATGAAGCATTTGCAAGTTATTTTGAGTATTATATAACTAAAAACATCGATCCTCAAATATTGAAAGTAAGTATTCAGTTCATTTTCTGAGTATTTGTTGAAGTTACCAACCTATAAGTTTATTAAAATCTTAAGACTATTTTCATCCTATCTATATTACATAAGTATATATGAATAGCCAACAATACTACATAATTTTGAAATTTTTCTACCATATTGATTAAATAAATTCTCTTGACCATGTAAATCTAATGTGTTCAATAATAGCTAACATGTACATTACTCTTTAAAGTTTATGAAGTGCTTTACAAATATTATATCAGATCCTCACAACAGCCTGGGGAAGTAGATGTTATTATTATCTCCATTTTACAGATAAAGAAACTGAGGTAGACAGAGAGTAAGGGACTTTCCAAGGGTCACATAGCTAATAAGTATCTGAGGACAAATTTGAACTTGGGTCTTCTAGACTCTAGGCCTGGTGTTCTATCCATTGTGTCACCCAGCTGCTTCAGTCCTGCCTCTGATACATACTAGCTGTGTGACCCTGAGCAAATCACTTAACCTCTCATGGTTTCCAGGGAACTTCTAAAAGTATAAGTGGCAGAAAAAGTCCCAACCTGTAGAAAGAGTTCCCCCAGTGGGAGTTCCCATTCTCAATGAAGTCATAGGTACGTTAAAAAAAAAAAGAAAAGAAAAACACAAAACATTTTTACTATGTTATTGTTGTATCTTAGTATGAAATGGTTTTAGTGTGTACATGATGAAGTCAAATTGATTTATTTGTATTTCACTCATCAAAAATATACTACAGTAATATATTATGAGACAGGCTTGACACCCTAATCTATAGCCTTTTCTCAGGTCTTATCCTCACTCCTTTTGGACTTCTTTTTTTTTGTTCATTTGACTCTGTTCCACTCCTTTTGTTTTGGTCTGGGCCTAACTCAGGTCACTCCCCTGGTAGGTTAGATATTGAACAAAATGAGACACTTCTAAGTCATTCAACAGTTAACAAAATATTTACTCATCTCTGTCAGGAAAAGGATATTCAACATGGATAGGCATTGAGGGCACCTCAAGTTGATTCAGCTGAGAGAAGGACCTGGGTTGCCCATCATTTTCCTCTGGCCAGACATCAGAGAAAGCTCCGGGCTCCTCATGGATGTTCTGTATTCTGGTGACCAGGAAATGATGTCAACAGCCTGAGCCTTTAATCCCCTGAGCCAACCATGTTTTGGGGATGATTTTAATACCCTTTAAGGAAAAACTAGCCTAACTTGCATGGAGGCAGAAGTGAGGATATTGCTCCTACCACACTCTCCTTCCTTAGCTTCTTTAATACTAACCTCTCTGAATCTCTTACACTGATTTTAACTCTTTTTCCATCTCCTTTTCTGGATCCTCTTCTGCCTCCTGCCTTCTTACTGTGGAGTCTTCCAAGATTCAGTCCTCGACCCTTTGTTCTTTTCCTTTGCTGGATCCTCTTCCTTCTCTTCCTTGAAGATCTTTGGTAAGTTGCCTCCTCCTCTCCTTGTTTCACAATAGTTGGGAGTGGAAGGGGGGAAGATAATGAGGGCCTCAACTAACACAGTGTCTGTGTGAGTAGTTAAGGGATAGACACAAGAGATGCTGTAGAGATAGAAGCAACAAGATTTAGTGAGTGAATGTGGGATGAAGAAGAGTAAGCAGTCAGAGATGATGCCAAGGTATGAAAAGTGGATGACTGCAAGGATAGTGGTGCCTTGAACTGAAATAAGGAAGTTGTAAAAAGAGATGAGTTTTGTCAGGGAAAGATAATGAGTTCTGTTTGGGATTGTTGAATCTAGGGGAGATCAAGCTTGAAGTGTTCAATAGACAATCAGTAATGTGGGCCTGGAACTCAAGATAGACACAGGAGCTTGAGATAAAGGTATAGCAATCATTTGCATAGTGACAATAATTTAGCCATTAGAGACAATGAGGTCAAAAATATGAGAAAGCATAAACAGAAAAGAGAAGAAGGACCAGAATAGAGCCTTAGGGTATACCTATAGCTATGGGATGTATGGACATATAATGAGCCAGCAAATGATAATGAGAAGTAGTGACCAGACAGGTAAGAGTAGAACCAGGAAAGAATAGTGTCATAAAATCCTAAAGAAAAGAAATATCCAAGAGGAGACATTAGTCAAAAGTGTCCAATGCAACAGAAAAGGCCAGTTTTGCAATTAATTAGTAACTCTAAAGGGAGTAGTTTTACATGGCTGTTGACTACTTTTATTTCTTCCTTAGAAAACTGCCTGTTTATATCCACATACCATTTATCAATTGGGGAATGGCTTTTATTCTTGTAAATTTGAATTAGTTCTTCATATATTTTGGAAATGAGACCCTTATCAGAGAAACTTTTTTTTTCCTTTTTGGTGAGACAATTGGGGTTAAGTGACTTGCCTAGGGTCACGCAGCTAGTAAGTATGAAGTGTTTGGTCTGAGGCGGGATTTGAACTCAGGTCCTCCTGACTTCAGGGCCAATGCTTTATCCACTGCGTCACTGAGCTGCCCTGAAACATTCTTGAAGAGAGTGCATTAGTAGGTGTCCAGATAGTTAAAATTCCTTTTCACTGTAGTATTCTATGACGTATTTTTTTCCCCTAAATTTTCTATGTTCTATTTCCTAAATTTTTCATCTATTTCCTCTTCTTGCCTAGGGAGCTAAGGTATACCCCCTGAAACCTACTGCGTCTCTTATTACCTGTTAATCCTCACACAAATGCTCCCCTTCATATTTCTCCCCTTAAGGGAGAAGATATATTCATATGAGCATATAATCTTAGTATATGAAAGGCAGTATAGCTAGGGTTTTGAGCCAGAAGACTTGGCATTTGAAACCTGCCTGAGACACCTAGGTAGCTTGTGTGATCAGAGCACTTCACTTAATCATTCAAAGTCTGTTTCCTCATCTGTAGGTATTCTCTCAAGATTGTTGTGAGAAAAAGTCTTTGCAAACCTTAAAGTATTATGTAAATGTGAGCTATTAACAATAATAATTCACACCTTTTTATCTACTTTGTTCTTTTTCTATGATATCTAGATCAAGATCCAAATTACAGTGCTGAGTCCTATCCTACCAGATGTATCTTGGTGGTTTTTTTTTTTTTTTGGTGAGGCAATTGGGGTTAATTACTTGCCCAGAGTCACGCAACTAAGTGAGTGTTATGTGTCCGAGGATGCATTTGAACTCAGGTCTTCCTGACTCCAGGGCTGGTGCTCTATCCACTGCACCACCTAGCTGCCCCTTGGTGATATTTTTTGAGATCAAATTGGCATCCTTGTATGACTTGAAATCACAGATTTTATTCACTTATATATTTTTTCTTAAGAATCACTGGTGCATTCATTTGCTCTTCTTCTTTCTGTATTGTATCTAGTGCTCTCTATGTCTCGATATTTATATGCCCTCTATATCTATCTCTCTGCTTACTCTCTAGGCTTGTCAAATCTACATAGGGAGTTTTCTTTCTTCCTTTCCCTTTTTTGGGTGTTATTCATAAGACTCCAGACAAATATTTTTATCAGTCCTTGTTTAGGTACACTCCATCTCTTGCCAGGAACCCATCATTCCTTTATCTTAAGTTGTCTTCCAGACATTCAAATCTCATTCTCATACAGCAATCTCAGTCAATTTTCATTTTCCAGATCTGTTGCTCTTTTGTTCCCCCTATATTTAATCAATGGCAGTGATAAAAATATCACCTGTACGTTACAAGACCTTCAGTTTTGTTTTTGTTTTTGCCTAGGGCTTCAATATTATTAGCAATACTTCTTATGTTCCTTCTAGTACAGGGGTTCTTTACCTGGGGTCTACAAAACCTCAAGAATTCTGTGGGTAGATTTGGGGGTGGGGCATGAACTTAGATGGGAAAAAATTATATTTAAATTTTTGCTCTCTGACTGAAATTTAACATTTCCTTCAATTATTGTATCTATAGACTTAGCTAGACTGCTAAAGGGAGTCCATGACATGAAAAAGGTTAAGAACTTCTATTTTAATAATATCATTCCCCCCCTTTTCCTCCTCTCCCCTCTCCCCCAAATCACCAGAAGTGGGTAGTGAGTTTGACAGTTCTAGGAAGAGACTCTCTATCCCATCTTGGATACATGACCCAAGAATACCATTGACTTCCTTGTTGTTTATATAACAAATGGTCAATCAATAGTTGCCTTAATATCCCTCTGCACAGATTCACCAGTCACTACCAAGCTCCTGTTGAAATATTATTGGGTTACCTTTCACTTGATGGTACCTGTGGGTCCATGTGGTTATTCCTGCTTTGTCTGGAGATGATACAAGAGACTCATACCTTTGATATGGCTCCCAATGTCTGATGGCATCTTTCCCCCGTTCTTTCTTGTTTCACAGTCTTCTACTCTTTATCCTTCTGAGACAAAAATCCCCTCTGCCTCTTGTCTTCTTTGTTTCCTGCCTGAAATACTTCATCTATTCTTTCAGGGAATGCTTCATTCTTCCTGATAAACTGAAGCATAGAAAAAGCATTCTTATATCCCTTTTATTTTCTCCTCTAGAATAGAGAGCATTTTACATACATATATACAGAATAAATTAGAGAAAATCATCAGAGGGAAGGCACTAAATAATAAGTTAGTTCAGGAAAGACTTCTCATACAGGATGGGATTTTAGCTGGGACTTGAAGGAAGCCAGGTATACTCTCTGCCAGTCACAGCCCTCCAAATTTGCTTGAAGTGAGCTTGATAGATCTTCATCTTCTTTCTTCTTGTTCTTTTGGCTAATCCTTGTGTGTGGTTAACTGCTGTGCAAAACTACCTATTTGCTAGATATGAGATGTAAATATGGTGAGATCCACCTGCCTTGATTCACTTTGCTCTTTGTTTCTAGATATTTCTTGGCCCTATTGGGGCATCACCCTTAATTTATTTAGCTAATAGATGCACAGAAGACGTAAAGACACACGCGATAACATTTGATTACTTAATGAGATCTAAAAACCATTGTTCACTTTGCTACCCTTCTCTAGAATCTTGTTTTTCCTTCCTTTGATGTTGATATTTCTGGCCCTATTTAGGAGGAGAAGAGACTTTATTTAAGAGGCTTACTAGAATTTCTAGGACAGAGAAATAATTATTTATGTATGATACTCTAACACTCAGCGTTTTATTCCCTCCCAATGATATCACTTTCTGGCTACACTTTAGAAACTTTGAACTCATGTTTCTTGGGGCTAACTCATTTTTTACTTTTCAAGTTTCAGAATGAGTTCTTTTATTACTCTTATATGAGAACTATTTTCAAAGAAGATCATGGGACCATGTACCGAACTGTATCCACAGAAGTAAAAAACTACACAGAAACAAAAGAAATAGGTGAACTCTTTGACCTATATATTTATAAAAAGGTAAATGAAATTATTTATCTCATTTTGTTATGTGCTTATTAAAAAGACTGGTTAAAAGATGGGTTTGATAGTTCACAGAACAAATTGGCTACTGTAAAATTTTCATTGCAGAAGGTGTACCTCATGTTATGCAATAGTTGACCTCCTGACAAAGTTAGGAACAAACTGATTTTTTTTTTGTAAATATAATCAATAATAATAGCTAATATTTTATAGTGCTTTAAGGAATAAAAGGCACTTTACATGTGATATCTCATTGGATCCTGACAACAACCATGTAAGATAAGTGCTATCTTTATCCTTTTTTTACACGTAAGAGAAGGGGGCTAAAAGCAGTTAGGGGACTTGCTTAGGGACACACAGCTAGTAATTGTCTGAAGCAGGATTTGAATTTGTCTTCTGGACTCCAAGTCCAATTTTTTGTGCACTACACCATTTAGCCCCCTTACAGAGTACCTATTCAATATGTACCTCACACTAGTTATATATGTTCTAAAGCAGCTTATTTAAAGGACGTGTATGATGAATCCTTTTGTAAGGTAGACAATCTTTTTATCATGTCAACAATTACCAACTATTTTGCCATTTTTTTTATTCTAGGTTTTCTTTAAGTATAGAACACTTGAAGTTTAAACTTCAACTCAAGGATAGCTTTAGATCACTTTTCTAGCATATTTATTTTTTAGATAATATGGACGCTGTGAGGGAAAATAGAATTCATTTTTAGCATGTGCTGAGTACTTAGGCATTTGATTATATTTATAAAATGACTCTTGTTGGTTCATAAATACTTAATTTTATTCAAATAATATGTCCTGATTTTCTTGTGCTTCAGGGAAGTTGTATAGTTCGGATGATGTCAGATTTTCTTGGTGAGAATCTGTTCCTTAAAGGACTGGAAGTAAGTCTGGAAAAACTAAAGCTTCCTAAAGAGAGAATGCTACTTTTTAAAAAATTTTTTGCATCTATTATCATTCCTTTAATCATAACTTCCATTTCTCCACAGTCATATTTGAAAACATTTGCATTCTCAAATTCTGAGCAAGATGATCTGTGGAATCATTTTCAAATGGTACTTTTTCTTCTTTTTTACTTACATAATCTTTAATATGTCCAGTGATTTGTATGCTGTATTCTGTGAATGAATGAATGAAAAAAACAAAACATTCATTAAGCTCTTACTATGTGCAGTGCCCTGTGTACTGGGTGGGGGTATAAACAGAAAAAAATAGGACAGCCTTTACTCTCTAGGAGCTCACATTCTAATGGGGAAGATAACATATGGATGGTTTTACTTGTAAGTTGGATAGAAAATTCCTATGGTCCTAGGAGTAGCAATTTGGTATGGTGCAGTACTCTAAGATCCAAAAGTGTGTGGAGTTTTATTTATAACAAAAGACTATAGGAGAACAATATCAGGGTGTATATGAGGAAAGACTACTCAGCACTGACCATTCAAGAAACCCAAGGTCTGAATCCAGATGTAGGGTTTGGCATAGAACCTAGGCCATTGATGTGTGGTAAATGTTGGGTAGGATAGCAAAGAAAGTTCTTAAAGAGGATGCTTTGCTAAAGGTTATTATTACATCATATTTGTATGATTTTGTGTTTTTAAAAATTAGGTTCTAGACAACCAGACTGAAGTTCTCTTGCCAGCATCATTAAAAAGCATAATGGACAAATGGACACACCAGAGTGGATTTCCAGTTATAACATTAGATGTGTCTACTGGCATGGTCAACCAGAAACCATTTTTTCTCTCTGATTATAAAAACCAGATGACTCCCTACCACAAGTATATTGGCTTGACCTTCTTTACTTTATCTTTCTTTGGGATTGAGTTCTGCTCAGATGGAAAGCTGGTGCTAGAGATGAGAAAGGATTACCCTTATTAAATACTGTGTACCCCCTTGGGTTTTGGAGGCAGTTGTTTGTTACTCTGTAGGCCATGGGGTGGGACCCTCTCCCTGCAAGGCTAAACATTGTTAGCATGCGTTTGGGGTTGAAATGTAATTCTTCCCTTGGGGTCAATGCAAAGTGAAGCTAGAGGCATAGAAATCAGCTTAGAACTTTACTTGTATCTCCTCCTCTTTCAGACAACATATGGGGGTAGAGGCAGCAGGGTAGAGAGATAAGAGTGGCCACAGCTTACTTTTGCTGAGATACAAAAGGTTCTCAATGAAAGGAGGTGCAAAAACTAGTCTTTCTTCCCAGAACACTATTCTAAAGAGTAATAATGAGGCTGCAGTAGACAAATGAAGAAAAGAAGACACAGATGATTGGAATTTGAATAAGTTCATTACCATTTCTTGAGCTGGGTTTTGTTTCTCAGTTTCAATTGTTATAAAATGGTTACACTACCTTATCTGCCTTATCTGCATCCCATAGAATGTGAAATAGGCAGATATTACCTGTGTTGTTTCTTTAAGACCTCTCTGTAAAGGAACAGTAAGATCTTTGAGAATAGGTAGAAACCTTAATTATAGCCATCCAAATTAGCTGAGTCCCATAGAAACCTGGAGAGTAGGAATTTTAATAAGAAGACAAAATCTATAAAGTACAATTAGTATATTTCTTCAGAAGATTGGCACTTATTCTTTTGCCATTGGAGAAATTATTCTGTTCTTATTCTGTTCTTATAAGTGAATATGGGAAGGCCTATTGAACATTTTTCAGATTTATAGAGAGTTTTTCAGGCTGATAAATATTTTGAAGCTATTGGTGAGACTGATTTCTTTCTTTTCTTCCTAACTAGCTCTGCACTTTTTTTTTGTGGTGGTGGGGGAATCTAATTCAATTTCATTCAACAAATATTTGGGGGGAACCTAGTGCATGCAAGGTACTATAATGGGATACAGTGATGAATAAGATAGATTTCCCTGTCTTCAAGTATCTTACAAGCTAGTTAGTTGTCACAGGTGTTTTTGTGTATGTCAGCAGTTAATTGGCATCCTTCAGGGAAGCCAGCTAGCTGAATATGTAGCATAAACCCCATTTGGAAATTAACCTGCAAAAATCCTATGTAAATAGCTTTCCTAACAGTGTCCTTAGTTGGTCTTCTAGCTTATAACTAAGTATGACAAAGTATAAAATCAGAAGAAGAAAGTGGAATGGAATGAGAGGCAAGAAGGAAATACAAGTAGAAGGCAGGTTGCTTTGGCAGAAGGATAAGAATATCATGATAGCAAAGGTCAGGCAAGAAGAGCTAAAATTTGGAGACCTGTCTTCTCTTTCAACATTTTATTTTATATTCATTAGGAATGCATTTTATTTTATATGAAAATTAACCAAATATTCCTTTTTCCTCCGATAAGCAACACATGGACTGTCCCCATTACTTGGATAAAAAGTGGAATTGTACAACCATTAGTCTGGCTAGATAAAAGCAGCAGTAAGTATCTTCTCTTCCCCACTTTTTTTTTTTTTTAAAAAATAGTTCATACAGGGGCAGCTAAGTGGTACAGTGGATAGAGCTCCTCCAGCCTTGGAGTCAGGAGGACCAGAGTTCAAATCTGGCCTCAGACAAATGATACTTAATAGCTGTGTGACCCTGGGCAAGTCACTTAACCCTGATTGTCTTACCAAAAAAGAAAAAATTAGTTCATATACATAAGTGAAGCAAATAAAAATTTGAAGTCAATTGTTTTTGGAAAATATTTCATTTGAAACTAAAATAGCATGTAAATCTGCAACTTTAATTGAAAAGTAGTGTATATGAAAAAAAAAAGACAATTCAATAGAGAATTTTCTATTTTAATCAAGTAAGAAGCCCATTGAGTTACCAGCTCTGCTGTCTTTGTTTTGGTACATCTGTGGTTTACAACTGACGATGCATAAATGTACATACTCAGATACTGATGAGAAACTATGTTTAACAACATATTTAAAAATCTACTTTTGCAGAAGTATTTCCTGAAATGCAGCTATCAGATTCAGGACATGACTGGGTGACTTTAAATTTGAATACAACTGGATATTATATGGTTAATTATGATCAGTTGGGTTGGAAGAAAATAAACTTATTGCTTGAAAAAGACCCAAAGGTAAGAGATCAACTTTAACTTTTTGTACATTTTAATTATTTGCATAAACAGTGTGTTCTGTTCTTTTATCTGTTGGAGGCTAGGTAGGAGTTCTTACCCTGGGGTCTGTGAACTTAAAAAAAATTCTGATAACTATATTTCACTAATTTGTTTCCTTTGAAATCCTATGTATTTTATTTTTACAATTTAAAACATTATTCTAAGAAGGAATCTATCAACTTGCACCAGACTGCCAATGGCATGATGCCATGACACAAAGTTAAGAACTCCTACTATATAGGAATATACCTATGGGGGATATTGTTGAGCGAGGAGAATTTGTTTTAGTCCCCTGACAGTTGATTTCCTCTTGACCTTGTGAAATGGCTTTTACAGTTTTTTCCTTCAAAATTTATTGACGTTTTAGTTGGTTTTGGATGTGATTTCAGTAGTTTGTAATGAGGCAGCTAGGTGGCGCCAGGAAGACCTAAAAGTTCAGATCCAGCCTCAGATACTAGCCAGTCACTTAACCTTTGTTTCCCTCAGTTTCCTTATCTGTAAAATGGAGATAATAATAGCACTTACCTCCTAGGACAGAATAAAATAAGAGAATATTTGTAAATTCATAGTATTTGTAATACTACAAAATTTTATAAATTTATAAAAATAATTGCAAACCTTACAGTTCTACATAAATGCCAGGTGTTATTCTTTGGATTTAGATAGGATCAGACTATTAAAAGACTGTTGACAAAGGAGCTTTTTATTACTCTAACTCATCAGAATTTCCACTATTTGAACAGCTGCAGAGCCTGGATTTACATGTAGCCTCTAGCATGACCCAACTGCCCCCTATGTGGTGATGGTTGGTGGTATAATAGAGCAGACCTACACAAAATTGTTTTCTTTCTACACAGAAACAATGGAGATGAGAGATTCTTTTCCCACCCACCCCATTTCCTGAGACTTATTCTACCCCCTACTCCTCAAAGATAATAATAATTACTATTCATTTATCAAGTACTTTATGGTTTACAAAGTGCTTTCCCCATTAGAAAACCCTTGTGAGGGAGATAGTGTGCATATCATTTTATAAATAGAATACCTCAAATGTGGACACAAGTTTCTTGGCTCTGTATCTGGCCTTCTTTGCACTTGACTCTATTACCTAGAAGTATCCCAAGAGACTCATTTAGGAAAACAAAACAAAACAAACTTCTTAAGAATTAGAGTTATCTCGGGGCAGCTAGGTGGCACAGTGGATAGACAGTGGCTCTGAATTCAGGAGGACCTGAGTTCAAATCCGGCCTCAGACACATAACACTTAACTAGCTGTGTGACCCTCGGCAAGTCACTTAACCCCATTGCCTAGCCAAAATCAACAACAACAAACAACAACAAAACAAAAAGAATTAGAGTTATCTCAAAGTGAAATGAGCCTCTTTAGAAGTGGTAGGGATAAGATGACTGATTGTAGGGTATGTTATAGGGAGCATTCCTTATAGGGCTAGGGGTTGGACTAGGTAACCACTAAGGTCTAAACTCTAAAATGTGTGATTCAATGAAATTTACTGCATTGAAAATTTTATTCTAAACAACCTGGTCTTTTTTCTATGTAATCCTCATTATAGATACCAATGAGGATGGGCTATTTGTGAAAGTGCTGTATTTTAAAATTTGAATGACTGATAGTCTTAATTTTATCATGAAGTTTTATCTTTTTGATGCCTTTTGTTTTTTAATCACATTAATTTCTGAATATATCCTTCTTTTCCTAAATAACAAACTATTAAAGTCAAAGATCAAAAGAAAGCAATTTGGGAAAGCTAACTGAGACATTGACAGTTTCTGACAGTATAAGTGATATTCAACATCCAGAGTCCTCCACATCATCAATGAAGGGTGAGAGGTAGATTTTCCCAGCTCCTCTTGGGAGTTAAGCTTAGTCATTATAGTCACACGACAGTCTGTTTCTTTGTCCTTTTTTCTTTTCATTCCATTCTATTATTGCTGTGACGCGTATTGTGTTTTGAGGTTTGCTTACTTTCCTCTGCTTTGCTTCTTATGTATTCCCATGCCTCTCTAGTTTTTTTTTATACTTCTTTCTTACAGCACGGTAACATTCACTGTATTGGCTTAGTTGGCCACCCCCCAACTGATGGGAACCTACTTTGTTTCTACTTCTTTGCTTCCACAAAGAAGTATTACTTCTAATACTATTAATATTGGGGTATATACGGGACCTTTCTTTGTGTCTTTAATAGTGTATATCCAATCTCTGGTTTAAAAGAGATAGACATTTTAGTCACTTTCTTTAGCTTAATTGCAAATCTTAATGTATTTTTACTGAAGTTGAAAAAAAACACATAAAATCTCATTAGTTTTGAAAGCATTCATCAAAATTGTGAAACATTTATTAATTTATAAAAGCATTCCTCTCCATGAAAAACTGGTCGTTGCATTACTGGTTACTTACCTTCAATAGTCAATTTTTTTGTTGAAGAACTCAAATGAAATAGTTTATTTGAAAAACACAATTAGATGAACAAATGAATAATAGGAAATGGAGAGAAATCTGCTTAAGGGTTTCCATATTTCTAATGAATATTGAATGTAAGGGGTGGCACAGTGGCTAGAGCATTGAGCCTGGAGCCGGGAAGACCCGAGTTCAAATCCAACCTCAGACACTTACTAGCTGCGTGCCGCTAGACAAGTCACTTAACCCAAGTTTCTTCATCCGTATAATGAGCTGGTGAAGGAAATGGCAAACCACTCCAGTATCTTTGCCAAGAAAACCCTAAATGGGCTCACGAAGAGTCAGACATGACTGAAACAGATTCAACAACAACAAAATTGAAGTAAGAAATGTATGAAATGTTATCACTGCTAGCTTGTCTTTAAGCTGTAGTGGATCAGACCAGAAAAAACAAGCTTGACTGAGTCAATTGCTATCCTTTCAAGTCAATTCAACTCATCAGACGTCTACCTGAATGCTCACAATTTAACCTAGCACTGGCCTGGTACTTATGAAGGAGCAAAGACAAGAAACAAATAAGGCTTCTGCCCTCCCAGAGCTATCAGTTGTATATAAGATAAAACAAATAAGAACGTGATTAAAGTTTATTCCAAATGCAAATAAAGTACAACGAGTGCTTTCAGGAGAGAAACTTAAAAGAATATTAGGAAGGGAAATTTGTTAATATCTGTGCTAGGTTATTTGGAGAAAACTGGTGGGTGACACTGAGCATTTCCATTTATTAAAGAAAGACACTCCCTGCCTCCCCCCCAGTGACATCGAAGCATCAATTCACATGAGAACCTGACCTTCTAGAGCCCAGCTGGTCTACTGTTTCCCCAGGTGGCAGATGATAAATGCTCACATTTCAATAGGACTTCCAGGTTGTTGTTGCTATTATTCTGTTGTGTTGGATGCTTCAGGACCTCATTGGACTATGTCCATGGGGTTTTCTTGGCAAAGATACTGGAGTGGTTTGCCATTTCCTTCTCCAGTGTGTCCCCATTTTACAGATGAGAAACGGAGAGGTTACATGACTTCCCCAGGGTCGTACAGCTTGTAAGTATCTAAGCCAGGGTTTGAACTCAGGTCTTCCTGACTCCCGGCCCAGTGCTCTGTTCACTGTGCCATTTAATTGCCCCCTTTCCAAGCTGACAAATCTCTCTCATAAAAAACAACCCAGTGAGAAAGTGCAAGTACCATTTCTATTTCGAGTAAAGGATTGTATGTAGAATGCTTTGCAAACCTTAAAGTGCTATGTAACAATGAACTGAGACAGAGAAAGATTAAAAGACTTCCCATGGTCACAGAGCTAGATAGAGCTCAAGGTGGGATTCAAACCCAGGTCTTCTCACTCAGGTCCCGCATTCTTCCTACTGCATAACATTGTTCTACTCCCCCATAATATATATTGATGAAATCACCTTGGAAATAAGCACCCTGAAAATGATTGCATGATCCAACTAACGGGCCAGTTATTTCAAGTAGCATTTGGTATGATTAATCAACAAGTATTCATTGTGCATCTCTTAGCTTAATTTGGACAACCTATTGAATTTCATTGTAATAATTCACATTTTTATATAGTACTTAAAGTTTTTCAAAGCATTTTTCTCACAATCCTTTCATGTACATACCTACCACTGAAGTCTCAAAAAATAGACTTACTGATTTATTTTTCAATAAGATATGCAGGGTACATATTATCACCCCCCTTTTACAGATGAGGAAAACTTAGACCCAAACATCACCTAGCTCATAAATGGCAGGGCTAAGACTTCAACCCAGGTCCTCTGACTTTTTTTTTTCTTTTTGGTGAAGCAGTCGGGATTAAGTGACTTGCCCAGAGTCGAATACCTAGTAAGTGTCAAGTGTCTGAGGCCAGATTTGAACTCAGGTCCTCCTGACTCCAAGGCCAGAGCGATATCCACTGTGCTACCTAGCTGCCCTGGTCCTCTGACTTTTAAGACCAGTTTTCTCTCTATGATGCCGTACTAATGATACAATCACTTATTAAAAGCAAACACAATACATGTTTATTAAGTATTAAGTGACATTTAAAAAGATTGATTTTCTTCCTGAACAAGTTTTGTTCTAACTCTGTAATTTCTGTTTTTATACAGGCTATTCCAGCCACTGACAGGATGAAGCTGTTTGATGATGCCTTTAGATTGTCTCAGTGAGTATTTTTTTAGGGGACCTTGTTTAAAAAAAAGATTTACACTCTCATGTTTATTTCCTAAAATACATAACTTTTAACGGTTTCAATGAAGATGACATTTTTTGGTTATATTGGCATTTTGTTGTATGAAAAATTATTTGAAATAAGGGGGAAATACTTTGTGGCTAAGAAAAAAGAAGTGTTAAGAGACCATTGTCATAATGGCATTTGTTTATGGAACTTGACTTGTATTTCCCAAAATGTTACAGGATAATACTGTAATTTTATTTAAAGTATATGGTGTTTTTACCTGATAAAGTAGTGCATGCTTAGATATTGCAAGGTTCTGTGAGTTCACCTATGTGGATAGTCCTTCTATCAATGTATATTGGCACCCCTCTATATCTTAGTAGAAAGTCTTCGGGACTTATTGTTTGTTACAAGAAATCTTCATTTTGGATACAACTCTCTGTCATTGAGCTTCTCCTAACATGTCTGGATTGATCCTTGGAAGACAGGCTATCTCCAGACAGGTACATAGAGCTTTTCCAACTTGGTAGGAAGACTGAGAATAATTTGTGCTTGCTGGCATATTCTGTGATAGCTAAGGGTCATCTTTGTGCCATGATGAAATGTTGAAGTAGGACTTCAGTAGAAGAAAACAATACCTATTCAAAATTAAGAGAATTTGCAGTAAAGAATTTGGGATTTAAGAAAGATTCCCCTCCCCAACTTGACTTTTTTTTTTCTACTGACATATCACTTAAATGAGTAGTCCACATTCATTGCTTCCATTTGCTTATCACGTTAACTCCTTGAAATTTGTTATCCTTTCATATCACTCTCCTAAAACTATTCTAGTTGAGTTAGAAATGATGTTACCAATCAACAAGCACTTATTAAGTACTTTTTTGTGTTTGAAGTATAGTGCTAAGTACAGGGGATGAAAAAAAAAAAGCAAAAACAATCTGTACCCTCAAGGAACCTGAAATCTGAGAACAATAGCTAGCACCTATTTAACTCTTTAAGCAAAGTGCTTTACAAATATTATCCCATTTTATCCTCATAACAATCCCAGAAAGTAGATGCTATTATTATCTCCATTTTACATATGGGAAAGCTAAGGCAGACAGAGGTTAAGTGATATACAGGGACACACAGCTAGTAATTGTCTAAGGCTAGATTTGAACTCAGATCTTCTTGACTGCACTTTCCTACTGTGCCACCTAATCTAGTGTGGGAAATAGCATGTACATAACCAGTTATACATATGAGACAGATACAGCAGATGGAAGGTGTCTTTAGAGAAGAGGATACTAGCAGGTAGGGGACGTGGGGGAGGCCTCCTACAAGCAGGTTGTGCTTGGGCTGAATCTTAAAGGCAGCCAAAGCTTTCTAAAGGTGAAGGTGAGGAGGGAGAGCATTCCAGAAATGAGGGACAGCCAGTGCAAAGGCACAGAGACGGAAGAGGGAGCACCTTGTATGATTATAGCCTAGTTACACCTAGTCTTTATCTCTAATCTATTCTGTCTTGACCTATTTGCAGCATTTGATATTCGTGATCACCGTTAAAAAATTTTTATTGATGCCTTTTGTTTATACATTAGAGTCATTCTTGAATATGCACCTCCCTTGCTCAGTGAACTTTCCCTTGTAAGAAAGAAAGAAAATACAGTAAAGGAAAATTAAGACACATTGATCAATCTGACAGCATTAGCAACATCCCATGCTCACAGCACCCCCACATCTCAAATGAAAGAAGGGAGATAAATTTCCTTATCTGTTCTGCAGGGCCAAGATCTGACTCCCCCTACTTGAAACTGTTTCCCTTTTTTCTGGACTGGGCCTGACTCAGGCCATTCTCCTAATAGTTTAGGTTTGATATTAGTACAAAAGGAGACACTTGTAGGTCATTCAACAGTTAACAAAAAAGCAATTTACTCATCCATAACAAGAAAAGGATAGACATTGAGGAGTTACCTATTGTCATCTACCTGCCAGGCATCAGAGTGCCTGGAGCTCCTAGTGGCTGCTTTATACTGAGGTGATGAGGAAGTAACATCATCAGTTTAAACCTTTAGGCCCCCAAATCAACCACATCTCAAAGAAGGTCTCAAGACCCTTAAAAGAAAAACTAGCCTAACTTGCCTGGGGGGAAGGGTTAGGATACTGTTCCTAATTATGCCTCCCTAGGCTTCCTTGACATTCTGCTATCCTGACTTTCCTATCTCTCTGACTTCCTTCTATTGTCTCTTTTGCTAGTTCATAGATTCTAGTAGAGTGAAAATTGGAAGGGAACTTAGAGACTATCTGGTTCAAACCTTTACTCAATTGATGAATCCCACCTATAACAACAAGAATAATATCTCATCCAGCGTCTTCTTTTTAAAAAGTATTTTTATTCATTTCATTGGGTAGCAGTGGATAGAGTGCTGGGCCTAAAGTCAAGAAGGCTCCTCTTCCTGAGTTAAAATCTGGCCTCAGATACTTACTAGTTGTGTGACCCTAAGCAAGTCACTTACCTTGTTTGCCTCAGTTTCCTCATCTATAAAATGAGCTGGAGAAGGAAATGGCAAACCACTCTAGGATCTTCACCAAGAAAACTCTCCAAATGGGATCAGACACAACTGAAAACAACTAAACCAGAAGAACAACAAATTTATTTCCCAATTACATGTAAAATATTTTAAACAATCATTTTTTAAAATGTTGAGTTCTGGGGTAGCTAGGTGGTGCAGTGGATAGAGTGCTGGCCCTGAAGTCAGGAGGACCTGGGTTCAAATCTGTCCTCAGACCAAACACTTGACACTCACTAGCTGTGTGACCCTGGGCAATTCACTTATCCCCAATTGCCTAAAATAAATAAATAAATGAATGAAATGTTGAGTCCTAAATTCTCTTCTTCCTTACCATCCCTCCCCCTTCCTTGAGAAGGCAAACAATTTGATATCGATTACACATTCACATGTGTAATACAAAACACATTTCCCTATTAGCCATATTACAAAAGAAAACACAAACAAAATGAAACAATAAAGATGAAGAAAGAAAAGTATGCTTCAATCTGCATTCAGAGTTCATCAGTTTCTCTCTGGAGCTGGATAGCATTCATTTTTCATCATAGGTACTTTGGAATGTCTTGGATCATTGCCTTTATCAGAGTGAAGTCTTTCACAGTTGATTAGCCTTAGAATGTTACTGTCACTATATACAATGTTCTCCTGATTCTGCTCACTTCACTTTACATCAATTCATATGTGTCTTCTCAGGTTTTTCTGAACCATCCTACTTATCATTTATTATAACATAATAGTATTCCATCACAATCATATACCACAACTTGTTCAGTCATTTCCTAAATGATGGGCATCTCCTCAATTTCCAATTCATTGCCACCACAAAAAAAGCTGCTACAAATATTTTTGTACAAATAGCTTATTTTCCCTTTTCTTTGATCCCTTTGGGATACAGATCTAGTAGTGATATTGATAAGTCAAAGAGTATGCTCTATCCACTTCGCCACGTAGCTGCCCTCTGCCCCCAGCTTCTTCTTGAAGACTTTTAGTGACAGGGATTCACTAACTAGCTCCTCAGGCATCTCATTCCACTTTGGTTTAGCTGTAAACTCTAGGAAGTTTTTCTTACTTTGATTCAAAATCTGCCTCTCCTATCTGTTGGTTTTAGTTTTCTTTCCCAGCATTAAGCAGAAAAAGTCTGATCTCTTTTCCAAAACATTAACTGACGATTATTATCACTTCCCCCTTTAGGGTTTCTCTTCTTTAGGCCCAATACCCTAGTTCTTCTTTAGGCCCAATACCCTAGTTCTTGCAGCTAGTCCTTGTTTGGTATGGTTTCAAGTTCCCTCAACATCCTTACTGTGTCCCTCTGAATACCCTCCAGCTTGTCAGTGTTCCTTCTGAAATGTGCCATTCAAAACTAGATGCAGCATCCCAGATATGCCTTTCACTATTAGAATGTAAGCTCCTGGAGAGAAACATCTTAAAATGTTTCCCTAGACAAATAGACTCAGATTGCTAAAGCAGGAATTTTGTCCAATTCCTTACAGATGAGGAAACTGGGACTGAGAGAGGTGATATGACTAACCCAAGGACAGCACAGGTAGAATGAAGTGACTGGTTGACTAAATAGCTTTTTGTGTCCGCAAAACATAACACATACATGTGTTATTAATTGAGAGATTTATTGACATCATCCATGTACAGAGGCACTCTCCTTGGGAGGAAGGCTGGAAATTATAGTTTGGGAGATCAACATATGCATGTGTATCCTATATTTTCACTAGATTGATTAAAAAGAAGAGAGAGGACAAAACATCAAATTAACAGCACAAACAGCATAAAACCACAACAGAGAAGGAATAAAAAGAATGAAATTGAGAATTTTAAAAAAAAGATAATTATGTACAAAAATGTAAAATGAACAATCTAACAGAACACCAAATACAGATCTTTAGCAATATAATTTCAGAAAAGGAAATTGAACTAGGTATAAGAAACTACCAGAGGGAAGGGGAGGGGGAACAAAAACAATAATCTTGGTCCAAATGAATGTGTGGGTGAATCCAATCATACTTTTAAAGAATAATGTGTGTATTTAGAAAATTACTTCCAAAACTTAAGAAAGAAAGCACTCCACTAAATTCCTTTTAAGAGACAAACACAGCTCTAATGCCTAAATCATGAAGGGATAAAGCAACAAACAAAACAAAAATAAAGTTTAAAAAAAACTTCCAAAAATTATAGGTTAATATCACTATTGAATATCAATTCAAAATTTTTAAATAAAATCCTAGCAAAAAGACTGTAGCAATATGTAAAAAAAAGTATTCACTATGATCAGTTTCATTTTTGCTAGGGTTCATTTATCCTAGTATTATTTATACTATCTATACTATACAAAGATGATTCAATTCTATATGTTCACAATAGAATTCATCATTTTTTCCCTCAAAATGCCTAACAACCTTCCTATTTTCCTTCATAGCATCACTATTCTTTTAATCATCCACATTGGATTTGGATGATTAATTTTTTTTTGTTTACTCAAAAGAGCAGAAATAAGAGATATGTACAGATAGGAAGATTTCAGTCCAGTGTAAGGAAAGACAGCCACAAGCGTACAGAATGTAGACCTGAAGTCAGAAAGACTTGAATTCAAATGCAGCCTCAAACACTTACTGGCTGTGTGATCCTGGGCAAGTCACTTACCCTCTGTCTGCCTCAGCTCCCTCAACTTCGAAATGGGAATAATAATACCACCGACCTCCCAGGGTTGTTGTAAGGATCAAATGAGAGAATATTTGCAAAATTAAAGTGCTGTGTAAATGATAGCTATCATCATCATCATCATCATTAGTATTCCTGATGAAACCATTAGAACATAGGATGAACCATTTAGAATCCAGATGATTATTTGTCAGGGATGTTGTAGAGGGTCATCCTGTTTAGATCCATGAATTGGACTAGACGACACATTCTGAGAAGCCAACGTGTAACATTCAGTGATTCTTTAAAATGGAAAAGCTCCACTTTCAGGCCCAATAAGACGATGCTTGTCTGTCAACAGAAAATGAACCTAGTTAAGCTCAGAGAGGTTCATTCTCCAGAATTTTTCCTATCAGCTGATTTTTTTTCTTGGCCGTAGCAATTTATGCAAACTCTGCTAATTTATAAAGGAGTTGTGATCTGGGTGGCTAAGGGAATGCTCACATAGCTGTTAAAGTCCTCATTTCACAGGTTGTTGAGGGGGCAAAAAACCATGTACATGAATATGTTTTGAAACACATTAAAGGTATATGTGATTTTCATCTATGATTATTAAGGAAAATACAATTAGTTCAGGAATAAGGAGGTTTTCCTGTTGATTAATGTCATATTAGGCTGCAATTTTCTGTATTTCTAAGAATTTTGACTTCCTAAGTAAAAAATTGAAATACAAAACCTGCCCACAATATTTGTTGAGTTATATTTTGCCCATACTTTTTTTCTCTTTAACTCTGGGTTTTTTAATTATTTAGACATCACAACAATCATTAGCATTTATATAATAATCTAAGGTTTGTAAAGTACTTACCTATTTTATCTCACTTGATAGAAGCGTTGAGAAAATGTGGGAGGAAAATATTTAACCTAACAAGCTATTTTTTTTTCTAAATAAAACAGGCATGATTATATTGAAATTGAAACTGTCCTTGAATTAACCAAGTACCTTGCTAAAGAAGAAGAAATCATAGTGTGGAATACAGTTTTGAAAAACTTACTAACTTCTAATATATTTGTCAATTTGAACAGCCACAATATATATTCCTTATTTAAGGTAACAGTTCTTTGATACACATTAACAGTTTTCTTATGCTACTCAAGCTGGCATGTTAGTGGCAGGTCATTCTCAAGGTGACTTCTTGTGGTTCATATTCCTTGATTTCCTAATAGAGTCTACCAAGGCTAAATAGCACCCTACCCCCCCCCCCAAAAAAAAAAAACTTTGGTAGAGGACCAAGTTGAGTGGAAAATATGAGAGGGATATTATTGAAAGGTGACCATTCTGGGAACTTGATGTCCTGACACATGTCTTAGATTATACCTCTTAGAGCCATAATATGTAGTAGGATATCATTTCCCTTAGAGCTAGATGTAGATTACTAAGGATTGCTGTCTCTTAAAACTAAAGTTCAAAATTTTCTACTACATTTTTTAACAAGAGAATTACAGTTAGTTATTTCATGAAAGTTCCTAACTTAGTGCTTTTCTTGGAATCTACTTAACTTGCTTTTAAGAATTAGACACATAGATCAAAGGGTCTAGACTATGAACAAAGAACTATAAGCCCAACAGTTATAAAAACAATTTCCTTTCTTTTGTCTCAAGATGGCTTCCAGGCTGTTTAATGAGTATAAGCTTCTTAACTGGCTTTATCTATAATCAATAAGGAAGAGCTTCCATTTAGTGGAGAATTCAACAGGGATGGAGAAGTCAATGCTAGTCAGTGAGTCAGTAAATATTTATTTTAAGTACCTACTTAACACGGTGCCAGGCACCGTGTTAAACACAAAGAAAGACAGAGGCAAAAGACAGTCTCTGCTCTTAAGGAGCTCAGAATCTAAATGGAGAGACAACATGTAAACAACTATGTATAAACAGGTAATAGGGTACATAGGATATAATCACCAGAGGGAAAGCACTACAATCAAGAGAGATTAGGAATCCCTCTTAGTATCCCAGATTTAGAGAAAGTTATTAAATTTAGTGTCCTTAGTATCATGATGGAGGACATATTGGGAAGAACATTTGAACCATTATGATTACTTAACACATTAAATAGAAATTTCTGAAGAAAGAAATATCAAACCTTTAATAATCTGACCATCATCTTTTTTGGTAAAAAGGTAATTTTAGGCAAATTCAATATTGGCTGCCAGCAGTAATATCTTTTCTTCTGTCATTTTAGAAATATTTATTAAAGAGACTTACCCCAATGTGGCATATTTATTCAACTAAAATTCGTGAAAATAAATTACAAGATGACACTATGAGTATGTAAGTATTATTTTAAGTATAGATGATTGAATGAAATGACTGATTTTAATAGGCAGCTCATATAGTACATATATTTATTGACTTGAATGAGTATCACATACATATGTAATTAATAGATTCGTTGACAGCCATCCACAGAAGCACTCTTATTGGGGGGAGAACCCTGAAAATTTATAGTTTTGGAGATAAAGGTATACACATAAAAGTGTGTTTTCTACACATATAAACCTTGGACTATTGAACCACAGCCAGGAAGTATATACACTCCAAGTTGTTTTTCAAGTAGTAGTGATGAATCATGTGGAACAGGAGTATGAGTTCATAGCAAAGTGATATGGTGGGTAAAAAGACAGTTTGGTAAAGAAGGCAAAGCTTGTATGTGAGAGAGTATATAGGTAAGTGATTTTGTAGGGGAAATGGTGAGAAGTAAGCAAAGATTATATGACCATAGATTTAGAGCTAAAAGGGATTTAAAAAATCATCTAGTATAACCCCATCACCTTACAGATGATAAAAACTTAGGTCCAGAGAAATTGTGACTCACTCAAGGTCATACAAATTTAGTTAGTAATAAGTAGCCAAACTGGGATGTGAACTCTGGTCCTCTGATTCCAAATTTAGCACTATTTCCACTGTTAGTTGAAATATATGTTGTTTAACGGAAATGGTCCATTTTCACAAGGCCAATTCTTTGTCTCACCCCTCATCCCAGCTCCCAAAAAGAGCTGGAAAGTCAGGCTACATAAGCTACATTGGTCATGCGTTATGGATAAGATTATGAATAGGGGACGGGAGGGATAGGAAAAGGAGACTGTGCATGCTCAGACAGACAGAAGAGCTCTGTACATGGCTCTGAACATGCATTTATTTGCAAAAGGAGTGAATCGTGTCAGGCCAAGGTGGACTCTAGTAGAGAGTGTAGTATTAGTGAATTTGCTGAACACTCATTTTTAGGTTCCCTTTCCTGTCCCCATTCTCCTTAACACCTCTAACCTTGGCCAAGAAAAAAAGAATAAAACTAAGTTTTAAGTAAAGTAGGAAAGGACTTTAGTTTTTAGAATGTTGTCTCAGATACCTGATATACTTTATATATAATTCATTTTTTAAGGGGAGGGAAACTGAACTAACAACAGATGTGGGCTGTTGGGGAAGGGAGAGAGAGGGATCAGCAATTCATTGCTAACTTCCGAAAAATACTAGTCTTAGAGTTTTGTTTTGTTTTGGTTTTGGTGTCCCAGACTCCCTCAATAAATATTTGCCCAAATCCTCACCATATTTCTTATTCATAAGTCTGTTTCTTTTTTTCTTAAAGTTGATATTATTTGAAGGTTATTTTGAATTATTCATCCTTTTATTAAATTGCATTCTTAGTTGAAAGGAGAACCTGGTAATGTAAAATGAACTGTTTTTCTTGTGCTTTTCTTTTAAGAATATCACTGAGAAATGTATTTAGAGCAGCATGTTGGTTGGGACTTGAAGACTGTCTACAGCTGTCAAGGGAAATTTTCTTGAAGTGGATGAATCATTCAGAGACCATTAAGTAAGAGTAATATTGTAATTTTCTCCTAAATGGTTGTGCTACTTTGACACATTCCATTATACTTATTTCTCACTTCCCCAGCCCTGTAATCTAGTTATTCTCTTTTCAATTGGCTAAATTAGTGTTCCATGATATGCAAGTTTGGAAATGAGCCAATGAATTCTCCATCTCTCATCTAGTATTCTCTCTTGTGTCTTACTAATATTCTTGGTGTTAATTTATATACTGATTTAATTGGTTTGATCCCAGTGTCTCTGCATCCTGCATCACTAACCACTCGCATCAATGTTTCAGACTGTGATTATAATCTTCCAGAGGGCAATGATTCGATCTATGATATTTTCCTTCTTCAGGATTTAACACTGTGCCATGAGTGATTAGACACAAAAAAATGCTATAAATAGATAAACACTATAAATAATCAATATTTGTAAATAAATACTTGTATTTACTCATACAGGCAATTTTTGAATTTTGTTTTTACCTGGATTATTCTAATAGACTGTTTCTAGTGCCTCGTCTTGCCATTTATTTGCTATTTCTCTCTTTCTTGTGTGCTATACAGATCCATCTTAAGAATGTTTCTTAAACACCATGGTTTCTTGTTTTCTAAACCCTATATTTCATTGATGACCAATTCTCTTATGTTCAGCTTTAATGATAATTCTAAACCTTCTTTTTCCCTGTCCTTTCTAACTTTATCAAATATCATGCCTCTAAATTACTTTGTTTCTTCTTACCGTAATGTCAACCTCATGACAACTTATGGAAGCAAATAATTATGAGATATGTTATATATTATATCTTACAGAAACTCTAATGTCATTAAATATGAAGTTATGTGTTACGGTGTTGCCATGGGAAGCGATAGAGAATGGGACTTTTTGTTGAGTGCTTATGAGACCGATGCACTTGAAGGCAATAGGGATGCAGTGATAAATTCAATGTGCTGCAGCAAAGATCCATGGATACTTTATAGGTGATTATTATCAGTTTATCTCAAAGGTTCCTAAGGAAAAAAAATTATTTTAGTAACATCATTCCACTTTCCAAAAAGGAAAAATAATTGAACCCACCAAATCAGTGGTGAAGCAAATATGTGTGTTTGGGCACTGCAAGATGCAGTACATTTTGGAATTTTAAAATTACACAACAAATTCCATTTATTTATTTTAATAAATAATCAATTTATTTTTAATTTTCAACATTCACTTCTACAAGATTTTGAGTTTTTAATTTTCTCCCTCTCCCTCTCCTCCCTCCTCCCAAAGACAGCATGCAATCTGATATAGGCTGTACTTATACATTCATATTAAGCATATTTTCCCATTAGTCATGATGTAAAGAACAATTAGAATTAATAGGAGGAACCACAAGAATGAAACAATAAAACAAAACAACAAAGGAAAAAGAGAGCAAATAGTATGCTTCCATCTGCATTCAGACTCCATGGTTCTTTCTCTGGATGTGGATAATATTTTCCATCATGAGTATTTGCAGTTGTCTTAGACCTTTGCATTGCTGAGAAGAGCCAAGTCTATTAAAGTCAGTCATTGCACAGTGTGGCTGTTATTGTGTGCAATGTTCTCCTGGTCCTGCTCATTTCACTCAGCATCAGCTGATATAAGTCTTTCCAAGTTTTTCTGAAGTTTCCTGCTTATCACTTCTTATAGCATAATGGTATTCCATTACATTCATATATCACAACTTGTTCAGCCATTCCCCAATTGATGGGCACCCCCTCAATTTCTAATTTTTGCCACCACAATAAGAGCTGCTATAAATATTTTTGTACATGTGGGTCCTTTTCCCGTTTTTATGATGTCTTTGGGATACAGACCTGGAAGTGATATTGCTGGGTCAAAGGTATGCGCAATTTTATAGCCCTTGGGGCATAGTTCCAAATTGCTCTCCAGAATGGTTGGATCAGTTCACAACTCCACCAACAATGCATTAGTGTTCCAATTTTCCCACATCTTCTCCAACATTTATCATTGTCCTGTTTTATCATGTTAGGCAATCTGATAGGTGTGATGTGGTACCTCAGAGTCATTTTGATTTGCATTTTTCTAATCAATAGTGATTTAGAACATTTTTTTCATATGACTATAGATAGCTTTAGTTTCTCTGTCTGAGAACTGCCTAGTCACATCCTTTGACCATTTATCAATTGGGGAATGATTTGTATTCTTATAAATTTGACTCAGTTCTCTATCCATTTTAGAAATGAGGCCTTTAGGGGGCGGAGCCAAGATGGCAGAGTGAAAGCAGTGACTTGCTTGAGCTCTCTTCCAAACCACTCCAAATACTCATGAAAAATGGCTCTAAACAAATTATAAAGCAGCAGAACCCACAAAAAGACAGAGTGAAACAAATTTCCAGCCCAAGGCAACCCGGATGATTGATCAGAAAGGTGTATCACGCCAGGCTGGGAGCGCAGCGCAGTGTGGCTTGGGTGCACAGATTGCAGCGAACCTGGAGCAGGCCTCGGAGGACTGAATCACAGGCAGCTGTGGAGGTTTCCAGACTCCTCAATCCATGAATGCCAAAAACAACTTAGAAAGTCAGTGGGAAAAGTCTGTTTCTGTAGGTGCTGAGACAGGAAGGTGGAGTTTCAGCTCCATTCCCCAAGATTGTGGCCCTGGGGGGGGGGGGAAGGCAGCTGTTTCCTGAGCTTCCAGCCCACAGACTGAGGGGGAATTCAGTGGCTGATCAGAGAGGGACCGCAGGGATCTCTTTGCCAGTGCTGAGGCAGGAATCTCTTGCTTTGCCTGTGTTTGGATCTGGGTCACAGTTCTGGGTGGCAGTGCTGGGGTGAGGAGGGGAGTGCTGGCGTGGTGGAGCTTGCAGTGGCTGTGGAGAGGAACCCCTCCTCACAGTTACAGGACAGAAAGGAATACTTGTGGTCACAGGCCAGGAAAGAAGTAAACACCTCGCTCCTTATCATAGCACCTTGGAAGAACTGAAAATTTACAGGTCCCTACAAGTATCTCTGAAAACAGCTACACAAACCCCTGAAGCTTGGGACAATACATTCTCCACATTGGAAGCAGACTTTACCTTAACAAAGAGTTTAAAACTCAAGTAATTGGCTGGGATCATGAGCAAGCAGCGCAAAAAGAGTCAGACCATAGAATCTTTCTTTGGTGACAAAGAAGATCAAAATATACAACCAGAAGAAGACAACAAAGTCAAAGCTCCTACATTCAAAGCCTCCAAGAAAAATATGAATCAGTCCCAGGCCTTGGAAGAGCTCAAAAGGGATTTTGAGAAGCAAGTAAGAGAAGTAGAGGAAAAACTGGAAGAGAAATGAAGTGATGCAAGAAAATCATGAAAAACAAGTCAACAGCTTGCTAAAGGAGACCCAAAAAAATACTGAAGAAAATAACACCTTAAAAAACAGCCTAACCCAAATGGCAAAAGAGGTCCAAAAAGCCAATGAGAAGAATGCCCTAAAAAACAAAATTGGCCAAATGGAAAAGGAAGTCCAAAAGATTACTGAAGAAAATACTTCCTTAAAAATTAGAATGGAGCAATTGGAAGATAGTGACTTTATGAGAAATCAAGACACAGTAGAACAAATCCAAAAGAATGAAAAATTAGAAAACAATGTGAAATATCTCATTGGAAAAACAACTGACCTGGAAAATAGATCCAGGAGAGAGAATTTAAAAATTATTGGACTATCTGAAAGCCATGATCAAAAAAAGAGCCTAGACATCATCTTTCAAGAAATTATCAAGGAAAACTGCCCTGATATATTAGAACCAGAGGGCAAAATAGAAATTGAAAGAATCCAGAGATCTCCTCCTGAAAGAGATCCCCAAAGGAAAACTCCTAGGAATATTATAGCCAAATTCCAGAGTTCCCAGGTCAAGGAGAAAATATTACAAGCTGCCAGAAGGAAACAGTTCAAGTACTGTGGAAACACAATCAGGATAACACAAGATTTAGCAGCTTCTACATTAAAGGACCGCAGGGCATGGAATATAATATTCCGGAGGGCAAAGGAGATAGGATTACAACCAAGAATCACCTACCCAGCAAAACTGAGTATAATCCTTCAGGGGAAAAAATGGTCATTCAGTGAAATAGAGGACTTTCAAGCATTCCTGATGAAAAGACCAGAGCTGAATAGAAAATTTGACTTTCAAATACAGGACTCCAGTGGAACATGAAGAGGTAAACAGGAAAGAGAAATCATAAGAGACTTATTAAGATTGAACTGTTTACATTCCTGCATGGAAAGATGATATTTATAACTCATGAGACCTTTGTCAGTATTAGGGTAGTTGGAGGAAAAAAATTATATGTATTATATGTAGATAGATAGATAGAGGGCACAGGGTGAGTTGAAGATTAAGGGGTCATATCTGGAGAATAAAATTAAGGGATGAGAGAGGATTATACTCGGAGAAGAAGAAAGGGAGAGGTAGTGGAGGGGAAATGGGGGAAGGTGAGAGGGAATGAGTGAATCTTATTCTCATAGGATTTGGCTTAAGGAGGGAATAACATACACATTCAATTGGGTATGGAAATCTGTCTTACCCTACAGGAAAATAGGGGGAGAAGGGGACAAGGGAGCAGGGGGATGATAGAGAGGAGGGCAGATTGGGAAAGGGGGTAATCAGAAGTAAATACTTCTGAGGAGGGACAGGGTCAAAAGAAAGAATAGAATAAATGGGAGGGCAGGATAGGTTTAAGGGAAATAGAGTTAGTTTTTCACATGTCTACTATGGACGTGTTTTGCATAACTGCACATGTATTGAGTTGCTTGCCTTTAAATGAGGGTGGGTGGGGAGGGAGGAAGAGAAAAAATTTGATACCTAAAGTTTTAAAAACATGTTTAAAAAAATGTTTTCACATGCTACTGGGAAATAAGAAATACAGGAAATGGGGTACAGAAGTCTATCCTGCCCTACAGGAAAATAGAAGGGGAAGGGGATAAGAAAAGGGAAGAGAGATAGAAGAGAGGACAGACTAGGGGAAGGGATATTCAGAATGCATGCTGTCTTGTGGTGGGGGAAGGGGGGAGATGGGGTGAAAATTTGGAATTCAAAAATTTGTGGGAGTGAATGTTGAAAGCTGAAAATAAATTTATATTAAAAAAATGAGACCTTTATCAGAGACACTTGTTTTAAAATTTTTCCCCCAGTTTTCTGCTTCCCTCCTAATCTTGAATGCATTGGCTTTGTTTGTGCAAAAACTTTTTAATGTAATAAAAATTATCCGCTTTACATTTCATAATGTTCTCTCTCTCTTGCTTGGTCATTTATTCTTCCCTTCTCCATAGATCTGAAAGGTAAACTGTTCCTTGCTCTCCTAGTTTGCTTATGGTATCAGTCTTTATATGTAAATCCTATACCTATTTTGACCCTATCTTGGTATAGGGTGTAAGATGTTGGTCTATGCCCAGTTTCTGCCTTCCTCTTTTCCAGTTTTCTCAGCAATTTTTGTTAAATAATGATTTCTTATCCCAGAAGCTGGAGTCTTTGGATTTATCAAATAGTAGATTAGTATGGTCATTGACTATTGTGTCTTGTATACCTAACCTGTTCCACTGATCCACCACTCTATTTTTTGGCTAAAGCCAATACCAAGTAGTTTTGATAATTGCTGCTTTATAATACAATTTAAGATCTGATACAGCTAGGCCACCTTGCATTTCTTTTCATTAGTTCCCTTGACAGTCTGGACAAATTCCATTTATTTAAACAAAATATTTAGGATTTGTTTTGAATTTTTTATGTGCACATTTGACAGGTATATGGAATATGCTTTAGATGCAAAATTGTTTACTACTGAAGCGCCAAAGGTCATTGAAAATGTGGCAAACACTGAAGTCGGACGGCTTGTAGCAAAGGACTTTTTAATCAGCAATTGGCAAGCTGTACTGGAAAGGTAAGTTAGGAATTAGTGGGTTCTACATTGTTTAGGTCATTGGTTTCATGTGGGAAGCTCTACTCTAGATTTGTCCCAGAAATCCTTTGAAATGATTAGAGAAAAATTTGGCACATTCTTAACCCACCACAAGTTGGCAGCATGAAAAAGGGGAAAAGCCCTTTTTTTGCCTCTGACTTGGCTTCGTTCTTTGTGACATGGATTCAACATGCCCTACACTGTGCTTTGGGGGCTTAGCAGGTATTTGTCAGTGGATTTTTCTAGTCTGGACCATTGTGAGGAGAAAAGGTGTTCTTTGTGAAGTGGTTGTAAAAACAAATGCATTGCTTTGTAAATTACAAAATATTTTTAGAAAAGAGAAAATATAAATATGTTAAACATACTAAGTATTAAATGTATTGTAATATACACATTTAGTAAAGAGTGGTATTTTAGGATAGATTGTGTAGCTATACTGTGTGCAAAGCATGAGTTAGTGTAGTGCACTCAATTGGGTATGGAAATTTATCTTATCTTACAGGAAAATAGGGGGAAAGGGCATAAGGGGGGTGGGGATGATAGAAGGCAGGGCAGATTGGGGGAGGGAGTAATCAAACACTTCTGAGGAGGGACAGGTTCAAAAGAGAGAATAGAATAAACAGGAGGTGGGATAAGATGAAGGGAAATATAGTTAGTTTTTCACAACATGACTACTATGGAAGTATTTTGCATGGCTACACATGTATAACCTGGAAAAAAAAAGACTTAGTGTAGTGGATAGAGAGCTGGCCTTGGAGTTAGGAAGACCTGAGTTCAAGTCCTGTCTTTGATAGATCCTGGCTTTGTGGCCCTGAGCAAGTTACTGAATCTGTAAGTATTTCAGACAACTCTCTGTGAGTGTAAATTACAGAACAACTGCTGCTCTACATTAGTGAAGGAAGTTTTCTCACCAGGCATTCACTACACAAATGAAATTATAGGTCTGGACCAGAAAACTGTACAAAGCACATTAGTAATGCTAAATGCTAGGAATTCAGTGATAGTGACGCCAAAGACCCTGTTCTCAAGGAGGAAACAATCCAATGGGAGAAAGATGTGCAAAAATGACCAAGTAAACAAAGGCCTTGAGGTGGGAGAGGGCAGGATGAATACTGAAGTTGGAGAACAGGCCAGTTTGGCTGGAACATGTAGTGTATGAAGTTAGTAAGGTGATATAGGACCACAAGCAAGGCTTGTTGTCCAATTGTGGAAGGCTTTGACTTTAAGGAAAAGGAATTCACAGTTTATTTGGTAGGTGAAAAGAAGCCATAAAAGTTTTTAAAAAGGGATTGATGGAATCAGTCAATAAATAATCAGTAAACCTTTTAGTTAGCACCTAGTATGTGCCAGACTGTGTGATAAGAGGTATTTGAATATTATCTCATTTGATCCTGATAGCAACCCTGGGAGGTTGGAGTTATTATTATTCACATTTTAAAGTTAAGAAAACTGTGGCAGAGGTAAAGTGACTTGCCTAGGGTCACACAGCTAGAAAGTATCTGAAAGTTAAGAAAACCATGGCACAGCTAGGAAGTATCTGAGGCCATATTTAAACTCCGGACTTCCTGGCTTCAAAACCAGCACTCTATTCACTGTGCCACTTAACTGCCTCAACTAGGAAAAAGAATAAAATTGCAGTTTTATAAAATTGGTTTCCTTTTGAAAATCTATGTATTTTCCTTGATGCATTTGAAAACATCTTTCTGAGAAGGGCTCCATAGGCTTTGCCAGACCGCTAAAGGGGTCCATGGCACAAAAAAAGCTTGAGAATGATGCCTAATGTTCTGTTGAATCTAGCCTTTCTAACCTTAGCTATGGTGGTCCTTATACAACATTTCACATTGTGGACAGCAATACTCTGAGTCTGTTAGAGCTTGTGCTCAGATGACATAGTTTTGTTTGTTTGTTTGTTTTAAGATTCATTAATTTATTTTTAGTTTTCAACATTCACTTTCCCAAGAGTTTGAGTTCCAAATTTTCTCCCCATCTCTCCCCTCTGCCTACCCCAAGATGGCATGAATTCTGAATACCCTTTCTCCTAATCTGCCCTCCCTTCTATCTCCCTCCCTGCTTCTCTTATCCCCTTCCTCTTCTATTTTCCTATAGGGCAGGATAGATTTCTATACCCCATTGCCTGTATATCTTATTTCCCAGTTGCATGTGAAAACAATTTTTTAACATTTGTTTTTAAAACTTTGGGTTCCAAAAGCTGACATAGTTTTGGATAACCCCAGGTCACCTTTGGGCCACCATTAGACATTGGAAAAAGACTTCAGTGGAGAAAAGTACTGTGTACAGTTATGTGTGTGTTTAGGAGCATAATGGAATGTCTGTGAGAGTCTAGTAAAAGGGATAGAAATATAATTCATGACCTTGTGAGCTTTGTTGAATTGTTGAATAATTTCTGCAAAGAGGGAGAGCTCATGGGAAATCCTCTAGTTTCATCTGAACATAGGACTTGGAAAGAATCTTTTTTCTTTAGACAAGTTGTCAGGTCTTATTTCTCCACTCCCCGCACACTTCTAGAGTGTGGAGTAAATTAGGATGCTTATTTTAAGAGCCTGATGCATTTGGCAGAGCCATAGTCATGATTATCTGGACTTTTTTATTCTGTGCCCTTGGGCCCCCCTCCAGCGATCAGCATTTGAGAAAGTGCCCATCACCTCAATCAGGCTCTGCTCTTAACTCTCTGGACTTTTCCACTTCTATCATAGTGGCCCCCCCTCCAATTGGTTAGTTCCTACTTAGAACCTCTATTTGAGGAAGTGCTGAGTCCTGCCATACTCACTTCAAACCTGACTCTACTCTTGACTATTCAGATGTTTGCATTTTTGCCTCACAGGGTTTTATGAGCTGTCTTTCCCTATGAAATATAGCTCCTTGAGGATAGAGACTATCTTTTTTGCTTGTATTTGTTTTCCCAGCACTTAGCAGAATGCCTGGCACATGGTAAACTTTAAATAAATGCTTTTTCTATCTGTCTGTCTAGCCAGTTAGTCTTCATCAAAGAACCACAGAGCTCCCCCCATCCCTCCTGTCTCCCCCCCCCCACACACACACCATCCCCCATCCTGGCTGTATGATTCACTCTTTTGTCAATCCCTGGCCTATGGCTATAAAGGCACTATGAATGATCTATTCTGAGTAGAGTCCTGCAGAACACAAATATGGACTTTGCCAGTGCTTCAGAACACTCTAGGACCAGGCATAGACTAGATGTGGCTAGCTTTTAAGAGTTTATTATTAAGTATTACTTGGGCCCAGGCAGAGGAATTTAGGAACATTGTTAAAGTCTCATATATTCTTTGGAGTAGCCATCATGTCATAACAACTTTTATTTACTGACATGTTCAGTAACATCCAGATATCTCATTCTCCCTCAACCAAAGTGACAAAGCATGTTCAGTTTACTAATGAAAACAGTGAGTCATTCTCTCTCATCTGGGAGAAAATATTGCCATCCAAGGCTTCCAAACTCCTCTCTCTCTCTCTCTCTCTCTCTCTTTTTAAAGGAATATTACTTGTTTTCCTTGTTGACAATTTCATCAACCTGTTCCAACTCTTATTGTTAGAGTAAAATGGAGAATTGAGAAATTATTTGGGGATTTTAATTAAAAACAAGGGCCAATCAGATTAATTTGAGCTCCCAAATAATCTCTTTTCCTTCAGGACAGGTTTATTTGTCCTTAATTATGCAGATAATTAAGAGAGGCCAAGTGAGAGAGTGGGTAGAGGTTTGGCCTTGGAGATGAGAAGATGGAGGCTCTAGTGCTGGGGCTGATACATTGGTTGTGGGACCTTGGCACACTCATTCAGCCTTTCCTTGCCTTAGGCAATTTTCTAAGACTGTAAGTTAAGGAATTGTTGCCACAGAGTAGTAGAAGCTACAGTGTAGTGCCCCACACTGATGAAATAAAAGTTTTGGAACCACATGTATTTGTATTTTGGAAATACAAAATTGTCCAGGTAATTTTTCCAATTCTTCACTTCATCTGGGTGTATTGGCAGAGGTTTGGAGTTTTGTTCATCTGATTGGCAATTTTAAAAAGAATGATTGCATTTTGATATGTTTTATTTTATGCATAAAGTCCTAACAGTTCAGTTTTTGAGATCATATAACTATTTCTGAAATAAAGCAGTTGTGCTGAACTGCAGGACAGACTAGAGACTTGTAGTATCATTATATTAACTTCATTCTAATTTATCTTTCTTTTTTTAATGCATCCCAAAATCTTGTGTTTGCTTTTTAAGCCATAGGACACTTTGGGCAGGTGTTAACTATGGCAACCTGCTATTATCTTTTATTGGATTCTTTTGAAAATTCAGAGATGTCAATCTGCATGAGACAGTTCAATTAGGTGTGCCTTATTCATTTCCATGAAATTAGGTGTTCTTTGTGAAGTTTATTTTGCTGTAGGGAAGTAGACGTGGACTCAGTTAAATAGGGAGGTGTTAAAATTTGGCTTGAATGGTATACCAGGACTCTAGAGTCTCTGATACTTGGAGACCTGTGTAAAGATGGGTTGTGGTGAACTGAGCCAACCACAACTTTGGATCATAAAATCCTGCTGCTGAACTTTACGTAGAAATACCCACTAAGTTGCATGGTATTTGTGACACTTTTCCTGACACTAATTCTGAGAACATATTCTAAAATGATTATGGTAGTAAGCTCCCAGACAGAGTGTACAAAATTAGGACCTAAAATTTCACGCAGTGATTTACTTTTGACCACCACCTCCCTCAGTCCTGCCTCCCTTCTATTAGCCCCTTCCCTTTTCTTCCCCTTTACCCTTATTACTTCTTCCCTACTTTCTATCCCCACTCCCTTTTCTTTCCCCTTTTCCCTCCTACTGCCTATAGGACAAGTTAGATTTCTATACCTAACTGATTTAAACAAGGGTTAAGCAATGTTCATATCCCTCCCTTCTTTCCCTCTGCTGTAATAGGTTTTTGTGCCTTTACCTATAATGTAATTTACTCTTGTCTGCCTCTTCCTTTCCTTTTCTCTCAGTACATTTTCTTAGATAAGATTAATCCACTTACTGGGATCCATTAACCTACTTGATCAGATTTTTAAAAAATCATTGTCAAATCAACTTATATCCACCCCCTTTATGTATACTCCTTTAACATGGTGTAATAACAATATAGTTATCAAGAGTTATAAGCGTCATCTTCCCTTGTAGGGATGTAAACAGTTTGCCCTTTTTAACAACATGTTGTATCTTTCTGTCTTGTTTACCTTTTTATGTCTCTCTTGAATCTTGTATTTGAAGATCAAATTTTCTGTTGAGCTCTGGTCTTTTTATCAGGAAGGTTTGGAAGTCCCCTATTTTGTTGAATACCCATCTCCTCTCCTGAAAGATCATGCTCATTTTCACTGGGTAGTTGATCCTTGGTTGTAATCCAAGCTCCTTTGCCTTATGGAATATCATATTCCACACCCTACAGTCTTTTAATGTAGAAGCTACAAGGTCCTGTGTAATCCTGACTGTGGTTCCATGAAATTTAAATTGTTTCTTTCTGGCTGCTTGCAGTATTTTCTCTTTGACCTGGTAATTTAGGAATTTGGCTACTATATTCCTTGGCTTTTTCAATTTGGGATCTCTTTCAGGAGGTGATTGGTGGATTCTTTCTATGGCTATTTTACCCTCTGGTTCTAGGACCTCGGGGCAGTTTTCCTTTATGATTTCCTGAAAGATACTGTCCAGGCTCTTTTTTTCACTATGATTCTCAGGTAGATCAATAATTTTTAAATGATCTCTCCTGGATCAATTTTCCAGGTCAGTTGTTTTACCAATGAAGTATTTTATGTTTTCATCTATTTTTTCATTCTTTTGTTTTTGTTTGACTGATTCTTGCTCTCTCATAGAGTCATTAGTTTCCATTTGCCCAATTCTAATTTTTAGCAAATTGTTTTCTTTTATTAGATTCTGTACCTCCTTCTTCATTTGTTCAATTGTATTTTTTAGGGACTTGTTTTCCTCAGTGTACTTTTTTTCCAGTTGGGCAATTGTATTTTTTAAGGACTTGTTTTCTACAGTTAATTTTTGTCCTTCCTTTTCCAAGCTATTGACTCTCTCTTGCATACCTCTCATTTCTTTTCCCATTTTTTCTTCTGCCTCTTTCATTTGACTTTTAAAATCCTTCTTGAGCTCTTCTACGAAGGCTTTCTAGGCTTCAGACCAGTTCATATTCCCTTTTGAGGTTCCAGATGTGGGTTTGTTGACAATGTTGTCCTCTTCAGAATTTCTGCCATGATCTTTGCTGTTCTCATAATATGAATCTATCATACGTTTCTTTTTGCTCATGTTGTTTGCTTATTTCTTGTCCTTTAAAGAGATTGAGCTCTCCTGCTGGGGAGCACAGGACACTGACTCAAGCTTCTTGTGTTGGGAGACTAGGACCTGGTCACTGGCTTTGTGTGCTGGGGCCTCCAATGTTGGCAGTTGGAGGCTGTAGGGCTCTGGCAGCTTACCTAGTGTTGGGCTGGAATCAGCAACACTGGAACCCTAGGGGTAGGATTGGGTAGTCTGGCCCCTGTAGGTTGCCTGCTTTTCCTTTCCTTTTGCTTTCTTCAGCTCCTTTCAGATGGGTGTTGCAGGGTGTTTATCCACCTGGGGCCCCATGGAGCACTTCACGGAGTTTTGCTGAGGCACTGGGAGACTGCTGTAGAATGTCGAGGCACCTAGTGGTTTTCCAAGCTGGTTTCCACTGGTTCCCCTGCCCTCACTGAGGCACTTAGGCATCCAGGTGTTGGTGTTTGCCTGCTCCACCACCTGGGTTTCAGGATCTCCTCCCGGTATGCTGAGGTGGGGCTTTCTGCTAGCTTGCTGGGACGCCTCCCATTCTGTACTGCTTCCCTTCCACCAGGGCAAGAGGGGCCTTTTCCATTAATCCCTCAAGCTACCTGGGCTACTGGACTGCTGCACCCGTATTTCTTCTGGCTCAGCTGTTCCAAGGTTTTTCCTGGGGTGATATTTTCTGGGCTTTCAGAGGTTGATAAGGGAGAGTAAGAGTGACTTACTTCTTACTCCACCATCTTGGCTCCCAGAAGCAGAAGCTTCATTCAGTGATTTGAATATTGGTTGAGTATAAGTTGTCTTTGGCATGATTTGAATACCTCTGTACTTTTTAACAGCTTTGTCAGGTTACTGAACAGGAGGCACAAGGCAGTATTTCAACCACTGTATTTAGAGGGAAAGTGAGAGTCCAAAAGCATGAAGATGAAACATGACACTTGTGGCCAGGTAGAGAGGTGATGAATTTAAAATGAAGAAAGAGATATACATTTTCAGATGTGGCTAATTTGGGAATTTTTTTTTCCAAAGTATGGAGCTAATGTGTTGAGGGTTTTGTTTTTGTTTTTTATTTTTGAACATTTTTTTTTGGTGGGGGGAATGTAGCAGGAGAGACAGATTAATTTTAAAAAAACAACTTTTTACTTGAAAAAATAAAATTTAAAAAGAGAGAAAAGGGAAACCAGCATTTCAAATGAAAGGGAAAATTGACTTTTAAGTGAATAATGTTTTTTTCTCTTATACAATTATCTTTATGATAACTCAAAACCTTAGAAGATCACATATGAACAGGGCTTCATTCATAGGGAAGTTGATAAGAGATATACCTCTTTGCAGTTGGAAGATGAGGATGAGTTGAAGGTTCACTTTTATCACACACATGCTTTGTATAATGTCATTTTGCATTGTATAACTTTCCCTGTTGCTGATTGGAATCTCATTGCTTTGTAGGTTTGGAAGAGAATATTTATTCATTCTAGCTGATATTCTTGCAAAACCTATATTCACAGAGTCACAGGTCCAAGAAGTAAGTATCTTGAATAATACTGTGGTGGTAATATTAATAATGGCTATAGAGCAATTAAATGTTTGCAAAGTATTCTGTGTGTGTATGTGTGTGTGTGTCTGTGTGTAGAATACTTCATATATAATATCTCATTTTGTCTTCCTAACAGTCTTGAGAGGTAGGTGCCATTACATTATTATCTCCATCTGTAGATAAAAAAAATGAGCCTGAGAGAAGTTAAGTAATTTGGCCAGGGTCATACAGTGGTGTGAATTGAATGCAAGTCTTCCTGACTCCAAGTCCAGTACTTTATTTACCTAGGCCACCTAGATGTCTGAGAAATATGTGAACTGTGAAATATGATGTGGAAGGGAAAGGAAGGAAATAAGCATTTATTAAGCATCTGTTATATGCCAGGCACTGTGCTAAGTGCTTTACAAGTATTGTCTCATTTGATCCTCATTTGGTGGCTATTTGGAGACTTAGATTTTACAATTTTTAAAAAATGGTGCATTACATATTAACAGACACGTATAGCACTTTACATATGTTATTATATCATTTGATCTTGAAACAACTGTGTGTGAGGCGTATTTATCTCCATTTTACAGATAAGGAAACTGAGCCTAAGAGGTTTTCACTTGGTCATAGTCACAGCTAGTTAAGTGTTGAAAGCAAAATTCAAACCCAAATCTCTCCTGGCTCTACATCTAAAACTTTTTCTAGAATACTGTATTAACTCTCAAAAACATGAATATTGTGATGTTCCAAAATGCTTGTGACTTCAGTGGCACTATTATCCCTGACAGGAAAGTGATTATAATTGTTACTTATTATGCCCTTGATCTAAATAAAACAAGAGCTTTCTATATTCTGAGAGTTTGGGATATAGTTCCAACTTGAATCTATTCATATTCCCTGAAATAGAATAGAGACCAGCTCTGTGATTTCATTGGCTTCTGGGTAAGGAAATTCTTTCTATCAATGTGTAGGTTGGCACTTGCCTTTCTAGGCTGAAGATAATTATCCTTGCTAGGGAAAACGGAAGCAAAAGTAGTTCTATGTTTATATTAAAATATACAATTTTTGTTGTTTTGTTATTCAGTCATGTCCATTTCATGGACTTTGTCCATGGGGTTTTCTTGGCAAAGATATTGGAGTGGTTTGCCATTTCTGTCTCCAAACTATAATGTATGATAATACTATAATAAGCATAAGTTTATTCTTAAGGAGCTTCTCTTGAGTAATAATTAGTTTCATGTGTTTGCTCTATCCAGTAACCATCTCTAGAAATATCTGGATTTTTCTTTTTTTAGCTCACCTCTGAGGTGGTCAGTCATTTATCTCATTAGCTAGGTGGCACAGTGGAGAATGCACTGGACCTGGAGTCAAAAAGACTCAAATCCTGTCTCAGACACTTACTAGTTGTGTGACCCTGGACAAGACAGTTTGCTCTTGATTAAGTGAGGATAATAATAGCACCTAACTCACAGGTTTGTTGTGAGGATCAAATTAGACAACAGATGTAAAGTGCTTTGCAGATCTTAAAATATGATATAAGAGTTAGCTATTATTGTTCTCAAAAAGCAAAAAGTTCTTAATAAAATTTGAATATAAGGCACATTTATTATAATAGGTAAAGAATAAAAATGGAATTTGCATCTAAGCCTTAGTTAAGAAAAGAATGATTATACTTAGAGTCCCTTCTTCCCTGAGCATCAATTTCCTTTCCCAAATAAACATCGACAGGGAAAGTCCCAGTGACATGAATGGAGTGGTGAGCTTTGTTGAAAGTGGGGTCTTCCATCTTCTGGCAGTTGCTTTCTGTGGAGATGCAGATTACTTGCTTCCTTCAGGCATCATCATGCGTGATTTTTGCCCTTAGCACAGGATAGACAGAGAGCAGAAAGCAGCTCCCATATGGTTCTGCTTGTTTCAAGTCCATTTTACCACCTAGCCAACAGCTGACTGGCCTTCACTGGCTGGTTCATCCTTCCAATGAGTCACCATGACTCTCATACACTATTGCCATGCCAGCACATAGTTGTTCGTCCTTTGCTCTCAAAAAGGACCAGTGACAACATGAGGGTGATGCCTTGACTTGATTGTGAACTGAATTTAAGTGAGGCAGAGCTTAAGAAAGTTGTCAACTTTACTCTCTCCTCCATGTTGTCCCTCCTTCTGCCCAACCTCGCCTACCCTACTCCATCAGCTCCTACCCAATGTTGTCTACTCATACCCTTAGGCCTATTGCACTCTGAGAAACTAAGTCCTTTAGTAGAGGGCTCTTTCTCCGTTCACCTTGAAAGGGAGAAGAAAGAGGAGAGAACACTCAGTGGTTTACAACAAACAGACTTAAGAACAGAGATTCACCATCTCTATGCATACTTCCTGGCATATAACAGGTGCTTAATAAATACTCATTTCCTTCCTTCTACACCAAGTAGGAAATTAGATTGAGATTATTGATTGATTGTATTTTCTCTTCTAGTTAGAACAATTTTTCGGTAACATGCTAGGAGAGGAAGCCAGGATTGTACTTCATGAGCACTTTCAAGCAAAAATGAAGGTGAATCAGCAAAATGACAGGAAGATTGCTCGGATTGCTAACTGGTTAAAGAAAAACATGGATGATTAACCACCACAAAGTGGTTTGCTCCCATTTTTATTCTTCAATGTTCTGCAGTTAGCATGACTACACATCGTAGTGTCAGAAGAGTACACCTTTCCTGCTCTCAACCAAAGAATCCTGTTTTGGCTTTGGTGTCCTCTAGGGTATACTAATGATTTTGTCAACAAAGAAGACAGGAAAAACCATTGTTTTGTTCGATGGTGATCCAGGGAAGATTTTCATTGGCAATAAACTTGTAGAATTTTTTAAAAAATGAATTATAGACTCTAAAGAGTCCACCTTTCCTGCTTCCAACCAAAGAAGCCTGTTTTGGATTTGGCATCCTCTAACTCAGGGTACACTAAGGATTTTATTAATGAAAAGGACAAGAAGAACCATTGTTTCATTCAGTGGTGATTTCAGGGAAGATTTTCATTTGCAATAAACTTATGGAATATTTTTTAAAGATTATTTTAAAAATGAATCTAAGACAGTCTGTTCTCGTCTGTTTTTAGTTTCACTGGAATTTTAAAACATTGGATTGGCACTAATGAAAAGTACATTGTTTCTGTAGGGAAATAAATGTCAACAGTCTTTGGTGGGGGGGTGGGGCATGATCTAGATGTCTCCTAGGAGCAATGCTAGAAGCAATAACATGACAATGTTGTGTAACATTCACTGCTAGTCAGAGATGCCAGAAGGAATAGGGAAGCAAAATTGGGGAAGAAAGCATGAAAGAGATTATGGCATGTGTGTATGTGTGTGTGTGTGTGTGTGTGTGTGTGTGTGTTTAGAGAGAAAGACATATCTATAGAGAGGTATATAAAGGTGCATATTTAATTTAACTTCTTTAAAGGTAGGAATGGAAGTTGTTTGGTTCATCAGTATCCTCCCCACCTTCACCTCTGGTAGAGTGAATGTAGTGAGTGCTTAATCAACGTTAAAGGACTTAAATTCTTTTTTCAAAGAACACTTCTCTTACCCTCTGCCAGTAGGTCTACATTCCATTTCATTACAGAATTCTTGGTGTCTCTAGAGATACCCTGCGAAAAAGTGTTCCCAAAAATAACACTAAATGAAGACCATGGGGCACTGGGTCATTATCTGTGAATTCAACAATAGGGAGAAAATTTTTCCAATAAAGATACGTGGACAATAGAAATCATCGGGAAGGATGTGAAGATTTGGGCCTGTCTTCAGGAAGAAGCAATATCTTAAAGTAGTGCAACCGCCTACTGCCATCCCCCACCAAAAGATAAATATAAATGTATGTGATAAATGTCTAAATAGCCATATGAGACAGCGTGATGTAGTAGATAAGGGTCTGCCTGGTGATCCAGGAAGGTCTAAGTCTAAGTCCAGTCTCTGCCACATCCTAGTTGTGTGGCTCTAGGCAAATCACTTAATCTGTCATTTACCTAGGCAATTCTCTAAGACTATGTTCAGGAACTTGAAGAAGATACATAATCAGAAAACAGTTTTAAATGATTATTTTTTTACCTGGTCAAATTGAATACAAATAGGTAACAAAGATGTAGAGTTTCAGAAGGGACTTTAGATGCCATCTAGCCCAACTCGCTCATTTTATAAGTGAAGGAACTGAGCCTTAGAAAAGTTAAATGACTTACCTAGGCTCACACAGCTAATAAATATCAGAGGTAGGATTTGAAACTAGATCTTTTTGGATTCAAGTCCAACCTTCTACCCACTGCCATGCTGCCTCCCATAATTCAAATGATCTTGCATTGTACATTTTGCTTTAAGTATAGATAATCACTCTGGTTTGTTATTAAATTAATTTAGTTATACCCAATAAAAATAGGATAGTGAATAAAAGTTAGTAATTAGTCTTTTTTTTTTTGGTGAGGCAATTGGAGTTAAGTGACTTGCCCAGGGTCACACAGCTAGTAAGTTTTAAGTGTCTGAGGCTGGATTTGAACTCAGGTCCTCCTGACTCCAAGGCCAGAGCTCTATCTACTGTGCCACTTAGCTGCCCCTAGTAATTAGTCTTTACTCTGTATATTATACATACATATTTCATACACACACACACACACACACACACACACACACACGCTTATATATAAAATTTAATTACATGTAGTGTTCCTACATGTACATAGGGATAAAACTATCTTCTATCTACCTCAGAGTAGTGTTATGAGGATTACTGAAATGTAATATCTGTAACAAAAAATCTTCAAGAGAGTTCAACAAAATGACAGAGCAAGTAATATTAAGTAAGTTTGGTTTTCCTGCATCATTTCAAAACAAAAAATGTCAAAGAAAGTCACACAACAAAATCAAAAGAGGGGAAAGGAAAGAAACCCTCTAGGAAAGACCAGGAAGGGGAAAACTAACAGACCAAAGAAATGAGTAAAGAAAAAAGACCAGGCATAGTGGTACATGCTTCTAATCCTTGCTACTGGGAGAGGCTGAGGTTTGTGGAACACTTAAGCTTGGGAGTTCTGAAGTACAGTAGGACTAAAGCTAATCTGGTGTCCACCCTAAGTCTAGCACAAATATGGTGAGCCCTGAAAGTGGTAAGGGGAACCAGGGTACCTAGGGAAGGGTGAACCAGACCAGATTGGAAATAGAATAGATCAAACTTCTGTATTAGTCAGCAATGGAGTTAGGTGTATGATTAGCTTCTGCACTTCAAACTTGGGAGAAATATGAAAACCCAGTGGGAAAGAGAGAGAAAAAGAAAAAAACAGGCTATAGTTTGAAGAATAATTGCTATGAGGTAAAAGGAAGTAATGAAAAGTCTCCAGAGGTAATAAGACAGTAACAACAATTACATCTCTAAAAGAGAAAATTGCTATATGGGAACCTCCAGAGTGACTTAGAATTATGATAAACATAAAAGAAAATGTAGCACCTATAAGATTGGAAATAAGATCAGTGAAGGAAGAATTTTAAAATGATCATGAAAATCTACAATGTAGAAAAGATCATGGACAATCTCAACAAGCCAGTATATTCTATGTGGAGCACAGTGCCTTAGGCAGAACAACAACAACACAAATGTAGCAACAGAACAAACAACAGAACAAAATTTTTCAACGATAAAACTAATAGAAAGTTTCAGGCCTCTACTAACAGGAATAAAGTTTAATGAGACAATAGAGAATTGTTGGTCTTCAAGAAACAGAACAAAAGAATTTGAATACCAAATGCCAGGAAATCAGGTAAGAAAATTACCCCAAAGTGTCTGAAATAGAAAGCAGAGTAAAAATCAATAGAATTTATAGAGTATTGATAGAAACTCTAAGTTTAGATCACCCAGAAATGTAGTCATTAAGTTCTGGAGTTTCAAGACTGAAGAAAAATATTATAAATAGCCAGGAAAAAGTAATTCACATAATAAAAGCACCATTGGCAATTCTATGAGATTATTCTTCAGTGATGAGAAATCAATGAAGATTGATTGTAATGCAATATATCAAAAAGCACAGAAAATTGCCCTGTGTACTAAAACTCCCTATCTTGCAGAACTGAAGGAATTATTCTTCAGTGAGGTTAAAAAACTTAATTTTATTCCTACAACAGGACAAGGCCTTTGGCATTCAAAGTGACCAAGCTGCTACAACTTCACAGGGCTACCTAGATTTGAATGCAAATAATGTATAAAGAATGACACAATACTTACATACTCTAATGAAGTGATTGATAATACAGTGGTTTTCATATCATACCTGGTATAAAGGTCTTTGAAAATATAAAGACTAGGAATGCAAGGAAATAGATGGAACTAGATTATCTGAAGGATTAAATGACAAGGTTTGGTTGGGAGTGGGGAAGGGTAAGAAGATTATTTCTTGAAATGATATGCCACAAATAACGTAATCAAAGAGATAGGGGGTATAGAAGAGAATGTTTTCCAAATCACCCTCTTATATGGGCTACATTAGAAAGGACAAAAAGGAAAAAAAGATGTCAATACAAATAGAATTTTAAGATCTATTTTTTGCATGAAGAGAATGGGGTATATAGCTAGGTGTTAGTGCAATAAGACTGGACCATTAAACAAGTGGTAGAGTTATTGTATTAATGAAAAGAAAAAAAATCATCAAAAGATCTAGTAAAGTGGAAACAAATTTAACAATTATTACTTTGAATGTCAATGTACTGAATTCACCAAGAAAAGGAAGTAAATAGCAGATTTAAAAATAAAACAAAACCCAACAATTTGTTTAGTAAAAGAAATATATCTAAAACATGGGACTAAGAGTCAAAGTGAAATACTAGAACAAAAGTCATGCTTCCATTAAAGTTAAAAAAAAAAGTCCAGAAGTTGAAAACATGATTTTGGAGAAGGCGATATGAAACAAATACCATTAAGAGACATGCTGGAAAATAACACTCTCAAAGGGACCATTGTTAATGAAAACTATCAATATTATTTAATATTACACTGATTAGCAGAGTAACCAAATTATTAAAGGAAAAGCTAGCTAAAATGAATAAAAACCTCAACAGTAACGTACTAATCCCAGGTGACTCAAAAAAATCCTCTGTGAAAGAATGATAATCCAAAAGAAATATAAACAAGAAGGAATTAAAGAATATATTGGATAGACTTACATATACTTGGAAATTGTAATTTTGGTGGCGCAATGGATAGGGCACTGTCCCTGGAGTCAGGAGGACCTGAGTTCAAATCTGTCCTCAGACCAAACACTTGACACTTACTAGCTGTGTGTCCCTGGACAAGTCATTTAACCCCAATTGCCTAAAAGAAAAAAAAACAAGAAAAAGAAAAACAAGAATTTTGGAGAATATACAAATTTCTTGGGTTCCCACGGGACTTGGGCAAAAATTGATCACATGCTAGGAAACAGGATTCATAAACAAATGCAGAAAAGGAAAAAATTTTTAACATATGCTTAACAGATCATAATAAAATAAAGATTATAATCAATGAAGAGAAAATATGATCAAGAGAAGCAGATTTAAATGAAGCTTAAAAAATAACAATCTAAGGAATGAGTAGCTCAAAGTTTCACTAAGCAGTGAAACAAAAATTATGTTGAGAATCACAGTAGTGAGACAACATACCAAAAGAGAAGAGACATTGCTGAAACAGTCATTAAATGAATGCTTATATCAGTGAACACCTATATTAACAAGGGGGAAAAAAGAACTAACAAATTGGAGCATTCATTTAAAAAAACCTGGGAAAAAATTAATGTTCCAAAGACAAGCACAAGAGATTTTCAAAATTAAAGATAGAATTGAGGATACTTTAAATTGAATTAATATTAGAGCTTTTAAA